GCCCGTTTAGGTTTGGCCAGCCGGAGTCTCTGGCTCCTTTATTTCCTCGACCACCATTTCAGAGGTCGGAACAATGCCTCGCAGGCTCTTGCCTGCAGAGGTAGGCCTGTCTCCCGCAGGCGGTTTAACAGCAGCAGCACCTACAGTCGGGGCAAGAGCCGGCATCTTTGGCACCTTTGTTGCTTGCTAAGGGAGCTCCCCAGCCGTTCTTTTTACCATTTTGGATAGGGAGCGTGGAACAATCTTGTTCCCGGACTGAAAATGTGCAAAAAAACAACCGGTTAGAGGAAAATTTACATACAAATGCTACAGCCGGCAAAAAAGATGAAAGAAAAAGAAATGAAAGCGTTACCCCGCCGTCTTTAGTCGCCAGCTGCGACTTCTTCTTTTCTATTTGCTCCTTCCGGAGCTGAGCGGCTGATGTAGCCGGTGTCTTTTCTTTTGGTAGCATGTCCATAGCTACTTCTGCAAAAATAAAAGAAGCAGTTAAAATGCAAGTTTGCCATCACAGGCGGTAGATGCTGGTTGATTCAAATAACATACTCTTTTTGAACATGGTGCTAAGGTGACAGGCGGAAAGAAACGCCTCGTCCTTGAACCAGTTTGGGTGGGGCACCCAGAATTGGGGAACTATTATTTCACTCCCAGCATCCAGGCGGAGGGTCGTCTTTTTAAAGAGACCCCTCTCCATGATCTGATCCATGCCTCACTCGGCACTCTTGGGAGAGCACACTTCTTCCCAAGCAAAGCCGGGTTCTTATTATATCTACGCAGCCGATGGTTTAGTTGGGGAGTTGATGAAGAAACGGCGTAAAATATGCTCTTCCAACTGCTCCATTTGGACGGCTTGTCCAAAGTCATCATGTATTCCGGGTGCGTGGTCAGAATATACCACGCATTCCATCCACCCGGCGCCCGACTGAGATAGTGCATATGTGCAAAAGCTTCCCAGCTGGGCTTAACCTTCTGCATCTCGCAAGCGGCAATATATCCAAGAATGTTGACCCATGAGTTGGGGGTCAACTGCCAAACACCCAGATCATACCCCCGTAAAATAGCTTTTATGCAATGGTGGAGGGGGAATCGGAGACCGGCTTTGAATGCCGCCTCATAGCAGCCGAAATAGTCGTCGGCATGCTCAATGTCGTCTTCCCAGACAACAGTTGCCTCTACAGGCAGTACTACTATTTTCCATCCTGCCCCAACCGGCTTCTTCTCCAAAAAAGCAGGGAATGTGGCATTTAAAGTGACCACATCCCTGGCAGTCATACTAGCCTCAGTTAGGTTGCCTGCAGGCGGCCACTTATAGGTCTCCTCATCAATGGGAGCGGCTGCCTCTGAAGACTCTTCAGAGCTTGACTCTTCGCCGGATTCTTCATCAGTTGAGTTAGATTCATCAAGGATGCTGTCATCCAGGGTATTAGGGGCACCCGGCACATCATAAGGTGCCCTATCATACGGCTCTTCGGCTAGGTCTTCATTTATGGGTACAGCCGGGTCGACGGCTGCGTCATCAGACTTATAGTCGGGATCTGTTGTCGTCCATCTGGTCCGATCCATTCTGTCCTGCACATGAACAGAGACGGTCGGATTCGAGGTAGATGAAGGGTGGTCCAAACACCCCCAGACGGCATCCCTAGTCCTAGACTCAGCCGTCTCAGGTGACCGGCTGACCACTGTCGTAGGCTGTGCCGTGTGTGTTTTGAAAGACCCCATTTACTCTATACAAACTGCACAACCGGGAATTGGGAAGCTTAAAGAAGAACCGTAATTTGGAAGAGTGGCTTGAAGATGCCTCAAGTGGTAGAATCCGGATGTGTTAAAAGCTAAGAAAACAAGATAAATAATCACCCGTCTTTCTAAAAAAATCACTCAAAAATACCACAGACAGAAGTATCCGCCTGTGGTTGTTTAGAAAGTTACAAGGTAATTTGTGAAAGCTACTCAAAGATACCCAAGACGGTATCCATGGGATGGGTTCAGAAGTACCCAGGCGGTATAAAACCGGATGAAGGTCTCATGAAAGCAACATAATGTTTAAAAGATGCCTAAGCGGTATACAACCGGCTGTGGGTCTATGAAAAGAAAGTTACAAATTGCCCTCAAATACCCCAGGCGGCGCATCGTCGGCTGAGGGTATGTTGAAAATAGTTGAAAAATTGTGAAGATCCCACAGGCGGTATACAACCGGTTGTGGGTCTATGAAAAAGAAGTTCTAAATTGTTCAGTAATACCCAAGGCGGTGCATAACGGGCTGAGGGTATAGTAAAAAGAGTCAAGTGAAAGGTCCCTTAGGCGGAATTTCTCCGGCTGAGGGTATAATGTGTCACTTTGAAGACAATTTGAATAGAACCCAGCCGGTACATTGCCAGTTGGGTTTATATTTGAAAAAGCATTGCTTAAAGGAGCCCCAAGCGGTGTTTTACCGGTTGTGGTTTACAAAACATAAAAAGAGAAAGAGAGGTCAGCCGATACCTTGGTAAGATGATCAAGGAGATGCTCAACCGGTAACCGGATGCGTTTGATTTTCAGTAGCCGGATGCAGAGGATTTTTTTTGGGAAATAAGAGTCAGCCGGTGTCAGAGCTCTCAAGGAAATTTTTTGAAAATTATGTAAAGTGTTGAAAAGAGAGGGATCATTCCCTATTTATAGGAAAATAGCAGAAGGTGAATAGACACCTTCTGCCCTAGAATTCAAAATTTAAAAAAAGAAAAAAAAAAGGCGGGAAAGTAGACCAACCGTCACTTACCCAAGCGTCTGACGCCTGTCACAGGTGACACGTGGCCAAGCCACGTCACACCTGTGAGGGGCAAATGTTTAGGGAAAAATTTACCCTAGACGTGTGGCCCAATAAGCCCCTGACACGTGTCATCCCCTCAGTGGTCAGCAAAGGCCCCAATCCCTTTGCGACACGTGTCCTTTGAACCCTAGTTGGGGAATTGAACTTCCTCATTATAAATAGTGGGGCATACCTCATTTATGGGGGATACACAAATCGAAACACAAACCCTGAGCAACAATTAATTGCAGAATTCTCCCAATCGGCGAGAAGTATTTACTGTTCCGTACATTTACCTTAGACACATTCTAACTTGATCGTCGGAGGCGAAACTCCACCCCCCATCCGAAGTCTATGTGATTTTGCAGGTACAGACGTCGGACTGCGCATACTAGGAATTGTAACTCTCCCGCAGGACATATCAAAAAACCCCGAAACATGCGTCATTTTAAAATAATGGGAAATTCTCTTTGGTAACACTCAATTTTTAACTTTTCTCTTTGGTAAAATGCAAAAAACTTATTATCATTGGTAATCATGAACATTTTATTCCATATATAATAACTATCTTAATTAAAATATTTAACTATGGTTAGTTTATCTATTTTTTTTAATTATTATAAACATAAAAAAATAAAAAAACCAACCCACCACCCTTCCCCAACTGGTCCACTTGCAACCCCAACCCCTTCCCTTCCCACCGGCGCCACCCCTTCCCCGAAAGCCGGCGCCCAACGACGACCCAGCTATCCACTCCTTCTACACCCCAACTCCTACCTCCATTCTTCACGCTCGGCTTCTTCACCCTACCACAACCGTTGCTGCAGCAAGCACCCAAAGCCTCCCTTCTCTAAAAGAAGCCATTACTGTGAAACTCAAGAAGAAGATGCCACTTTTTGAGTTTGCTTCTTACGGGTCAAAATCCGGACCCGTTTCATCCAGATCCACCCGTTTAACCCATGAAAAAATGCTTCAGTTACCCACTGCTTCCAAACCTCGATGCCTCCTTTTTTTTTTTAGGGCTGATGTGGTTGTCAGGTTAATAATTGGGCTTCTATGTAAAAAGCCATTTCAATGGTGGATAGTAGGAGAGGTGCTATGAGTAGTGGTGGTTCGAGGTATGGAGCTTTGGGGGTTTTGAGGGCAAGGGGATTGATGACTGATGGGTTTGAGGGTGGGGAGAGGGTTTAGGGGGGGAGGTGGATTTCTGGGAAGGGGGAAGTAGCGGTGCGCCAACGAGGGAGGGGGCCAAGGTTGCCGACGGGGTGAGGAGAGGGAAGGGTGGTTGGCTAGTGGGGGGGAAGGAGGTTGTTTTATTTTTTTAACATAAAATTATTCCTAAAAAAAATAAATAAATAAATATAACTATAGTTAAATATTTAGTTAAAATTTATCATTTAATATTATATTTAACTTAATAGAAAAAGATCATAATTATCAATGATAATAAGTTTTTTTTTATTTTTTTGCTATTTTTAAAGAGAAAATTCGGAGGAATGGAAGGGTAGGGAGAAGGTAGGGTTGAGTGCAACTAGGCGCATAGCTGCTATTTGTTTATGATGCATACCAGAGGGCTAATTCGTAAATTCACTTAATTTTTGTGATATTTTACTGCTACAGTGGTATTTTATTGTACTATTATACTCGTATTTTATACTACTAGAGTATAAGTTATTTTAGTAGTACTATTTATAGCCATTATAGTCATAGTGGTACAATCTTTGTACCACTAAGAAAAAAATAAATAAATAAAATCACCACTCTTTTGTCATATATATAGCTACTATTTACTTGCCAGGTAAATAGCAGCTATGCGCCAATACTTAACCGATAAGGCTTACAATTTCCCTACAAATCTTTCCAACATTAGAAAGATTTAAAATGTGAGGGAAAAGTAATCCCTTCCCTTCCTTCCTATCAAAAGATATCCACAGAAGTCGGGAGGATGAATCCCTTCTTTTTTCTTCTCTTCCTTTCCCTCCAATTCTCCCAATCCAAAAAATAGTGATTTTTGTCATTAGTACAGATTTTGATTCTCCACTAAAAAATCAGATCTGTAAACTTGATGAATTTAGTCAGCATTACCTATAAAAAGAAATTTTGTATACGAAAACAAGAAACTAAAACTATTAGAGGCAACTTAAATTGCATGGGGAGCACCCCAACCGAAAGTCAATAGCACCTGATCCGGGGGAAACCTTTAGACACCACAGAGCTGCGATAAATAGGAAAAACTACACCTACACCAAAGATAGGCAGAGCAATTGATTGCTTGAAAACGAACGGAAGCTAGTATTTACATTCCATTAAATGAAGTTTCATATTCTTTACAATTACCGCCCAACATAAATAGGAAAGCAAACCCCAAGGTACAAAAAAATAGGGGAAAGCCTGGCCTATCCACATCAAATAGCAACAAACAAAGCCTGGGGCCAATGTGAGGCGAATTCCTACCAAGCACTATACCCAGGTATAATTGATAACCAAGTTACAAGACTGGAGCAGCAGCTGAAAGCCAAAGTCTTTTCAGAGCCAATATGATTTATGGTCTTTGAGTCTGGACCTCTGTTTCTGCAAATCTAACTCTCATTCGTTCTTGTGTATGTTTTCTTTGCATCTGTGCTACAAAACTGTACAAGTTAGCCTAACCTGCTATGTACAAACTACAACCGCCTGCTTGCTCTTACACCATTGCTTTGTCGGCCACTTTGATTCCTCCGCCCTCCAGTCCAATCTTCATTATCATCTTCATCTTCATCCTCCCTACTTATCATTCGGCTTGCTTTACCTCCTCTTTTGGAGGTTGGGCGTTTCCTTTTAATGTTTGCTGTGTAGGCTGAGTAGTCAACAGTATCTTCCCTCAGTGCATTCTTGAATTCCTATTAGTAACGAAAGCAGGGAACAAACAAATAGAATCAAGGGATCAGTGAATCCACATACAACCCTGCGCCTAACATGTGGAAATGTTTATGCATACCCTTTGAAGTGAAAGGGTACTGAAAAATACGTAGAGTATTTTTCCATACTCACTACTAATCTTTGTACAATATCTTTTCCCATTAGAATTTTCTGGTTCTCATTATCTTTTCCTATCTATATCGATTTACTGTTGGAAAAGGAAATTAGGAAAGGCAAATAAGCAATTACAAGTTACAGCTAACAACTCAAGTCTTTAACCATGGATCGAGGGGAGAGGGGGAGGGGGCGTTTGCTGTACATGTAATAGTACCTGATATCTCTGGGTCAACTCTTCAGACGTCGAAGGCATATCAACGTTTATGACACCAATGCTAAAAGGAATATTCTGTCTGGAAAGGACCTCTCCAGATTTGGGAGGATCGGCAGGTGAAAATGCCTATTAAAAAGAATTGCATTCTCTGGTTAAACAAGGTTATTTGAATGACAACTAATAATAAGTTTAAGCAAAGCACAAAATAATTTAGACTATAGTAGTCTTACTTGGCATCGAACATCATCCAAATTGTACATAATCTTCAAGTGCCTCTTCAACTTTAAGAGAAGCTGAAGTGCCGTAGCTGCAAGACAGACAGCCTGCCAAACACCAATTATTAGATGTAAGACTACTTTGATCTACTACAGAAATACTGTAAATTGCTTCTAAAATCCTACCTGTATTCTCTGCTGATCATCTTCTGCAAGGACACAAGGTCCAGCAGGTCTTGTGTGCACAGTTTCTTCATTCACCGTAGAATGAAAATGCCCATCTTCAGGAACCTCAACTTGTCCATTTAACTCAAAAGATACAGAAGATGCCAAGAGAGACCCAAAAGGTAACTCTTGCAAAACACTCCCATTTTCTGTCAGGACCTTTTGCGAACTTCGCTGGGAGAAATGGGAACTGAAAGCTTTTAGACCTGCTTCCAGTGTCCCAGATCTAACTTGAATCACTCTGTTTATGGTGTAAATCAAGTAAAGGGGCTCATCAGGGGTTGTGAAAGGGAGCAAAGCAAGGATTTCCGTACAGTACCTAGACAATATTGATGCAATATGAGTTAACAAACCATAGTGTAAAATTAAAGCTCACAAAGTAGCAGAGGGAGGATAACCTACATCAAGAAAGAGACAACTGTTTCACTCCAGCTTGGATTATCAAACTTGCGAATAACTGAAGACATGAACTTATTTCTAGAAACACGGTTTCCCCGTATAAGCTTGTATATACGAGAAACTCCTATTCTCGCATTTGCAAACGATGCATCCTCATGTTTTCCCTTGTTTTCAGCAACATTGAAGTGGATTTTAGAACTTGGATTTACAGAATTCTCATTCATTGATCGTATAAAATTAAATGACAACTGCAGTCCATCACCAAGGCGGCTCTCAAAGAAAGCTGGATACCTGAAATGATTCATCAGATAGTGAGCAGGAGCAAAGAATAATAAATGTTAAATACAAAGTTTCAGAATAGTACTTCTCATTCATATTCATTAGCAGATGGTGTGCCAACTTTGAGTTCACCTCCAAAGGATCTGTTTCCAGAGCAATGAGGTACGGAACACAAGTAATTGGGTGTACAAGACCTTGGCGCAGAGCAACTTCCACGATCTGCACAGAGCAAAATACAAAATCAAGCAATAAATCATGTACTGCAGGCACATAAAAATAGCAGACTTGCAGTCAGTATTGCCTTTTAACAGTAGGCACAAGGTAAGCTTTTGACAAGGAAAAGAACATATAAAATGTGATTGCGAATCTCAGAACCAGAACAAAAACTTAAGCGGCAAATAAACACATTGATGTTTAAATCTAACATCGACCACAAATTGCTTGAAACAAATGGCAGTATAATTTGTTATGTTCAAACCTATCACTATCATTATAATATTTGCTGCAGAAATATCATGTAAAAATAGAATAACAACAACAACAACAAAATCTTAATCAAAAAATGATTTGGGGTCGGCTAAATATGGATTGTCATAAGGAACCATCCAAAAATACAATGCCAAAAAACAGAAAAACACATTTATCTAAAGCAGAAAACACTACAACGTTATTTGGTGGAGTCCAATTAATCATCAGATTAAAATCCGACAACTGAATAATGAGGGAGTAAAATATACTTAGCCAACAAAGCCCCATTGAATGACCAGTTTAACCCATAATAACAAAAAAAAAAAAAAAAAAAAAAAAAAAAAAAAAAAAAAGTTTAGTAAAAGAAGAGCGATAATATATCAGTCTATCACAAACTATTTATTTAAAAATACCAAACATATCTACTCACACACGCTTGATTGCTCGAATGAAGGATAACTTTGCTACAGCTACAGCAATACCTTCTTTAAAGTTAAACTACCCCTAGTCCAAGGTAAAGTGAATTCTCTGCTCAGAAGCCATCCGTGAAGAACTAGTGAAGATAAACTTTTACATATACCAGTTCCACATGTCTAAAAAACAATCCCTCCAGTGCATGAGTTGAATTTGTTAAGAAAATATGTAAGAAGGGTTTGTTGGGGAATTGAAAATTATAGAAAAGAGAAAGTGGGTGAACTGTTTATTTAAAAGTAAGTGATGTGAGAGGAAGAAAATAAAATAAAAAAAATAAAATAAAAATAAAAAAGTGTGGAGGGTGGAGATATACACAATAAAAAAATAATAATAAAGTGTAGAAGATTTCCAAATTTGGAATTGAAAAAACAGCCGATTAAGTTAAGTGTTGCTCTTTAAAAAAAAAAAAGTATTTCCATTAAGCATTAACATCCTGTTACTGCATTCTACAATCTACAGCACATGAGATACTAAGAGCTAAACTTTGGAATGTTATAATTATATAATTCCATACTCTGCATTACCAAGCAAAGGTGGTAAATGCCAATATTCTAGATATTATGATAGAATACTTTAGCAGGCAATTTAAAAAGGAAATAAAACAGCGATACCATATATATACACACGCACACAGTAGCAGTGGTGGATCCAGAATTTTTGAGCCGGTGAGTCACCATCAATTATTGATAACCCTGTCCTACCTACACCACCACCCGCACCGCCACCACCACCCACAAAAAAATACAAAAAAAAAGAAAACCACAACCCCAAACCCGTTGCACCCACCCTCAACCCACCATTAACATATCGCAGCATAGAAACAACAAAAAAAAAATCCAAAATAAGACAGAAAATTTGAAATACACACATAAAACTTAAGGCATACCTCACAAAATTATATCAATTATGGGTTTTTAGGGTCATATTGGGGGAGGAACAAAAGATGATTTTTGTGATTTTGACACATGTTCTTTCCTAAAATACTCTAAGCTGTTCATTTCCAATTCTCCAAAGTCCAAACGGTAATGTCAAAATATGGCGTTTTATACTTTGACTTCAATTTTACAACAATTGAACAAAACAACTTCAACCATTCAACAATTCAACCAACAATTTCAAAACAATTTATTTACCAAAATAAGAAAAATAAAAGGTAAAACAAATGAAAAGAAAAAATAATTTTTTTTACAAACACGGAATGAATAAAAAAAAGAAAAAAGGAACACAAAACAAAATTATTAAAAAAAAGGAAACCCATCAGACCCACCCCCACTCCCACCCGGCCCCCACCCCAATTTCCTTCTTCCTATTCGTATGTAGCTGCTCTGTTTGGCTCTCTTCCTCTACAATCACCATCATCGCCATCACCATCAATCAACAAATCAAGACCATTCTTCATGGTTAATTCAATCACAATTCACAAAACCACAAAACTTTGAGGAGAAATAAATTAATCTAACTCATTCAATCACAAACCCCAAATCATGGTGGTTTTTTTAAAAAAAAATTAAACTTCATTTTTTTTTACTGCTGAGTCACGTGCACCACTGTGCACATGAATACATCTGCCAGTGCACAGTAGTATTCACACTGTCACAGTTCTTTCTTTTTTCTCACTTTTTGGTTTGCAATTTAGAAGTTTATCAATGTGAAATTGTGATTTCTATGTCATATTACTGGAGTAAACCATTGCAATATTAATATATTTCCTTCTGTTACCTCTTTCAATAGAGTTAATTAGGAAACAATTAAAAATCTTGACAGGAATAGTTACCTTCAGGCCGGATTGGAATTCAAATTCAAAGCATGGAATAGAGTTGGCACATGTAAAGTTGAAATTAACCCATGATTGTGAAAACTTGACAGGAATAGTTACCTTCAGGCCAGATTGGCGAATTTGGTCATTTGTGTCCAAGCATCTTTCCAAGATATGGTTCCAATAAAGTTGCACTATTCCACCACAAATGTTTGTATCACCAGCACCTGCAGCAACAGGCACCACAGAACCACCATCGTGGGAGCAGTCAACCACATTATCTTCAACTGTATCTGAGCCCAACTGACTTTCAGCATCAAGGAGATAATCATACATATTCTGCAGAGCTTGCAGCTGGCGATCATATCATATTAGAAAGGGCCAAAGCATAACCTTTACTAAAGAGAGTAGGAGGAACAGGTAGGCTAGGAAACAAGCCCTTACCTTCAGACGAGCATCACAGCTGGAAGACAGCGTTGCAGATAAAATTTTTCCAGTATCCTTCTCCAACATGCATTCAGGTCTAGCAATCAAAATAAATCCCAGTGCCTGGAAAGTGCACCTTCTCTATGAGCCAATGAACATATTTATTAAAAAATCTCCTACAGTCGGTATGAGAAGAAAGACGCTTACCTGCAGAGCTCTGACCTTTATACCAAAATCATCAGCTAGAAGATACTTCTTAAATAAACTGATACTGCTACCAACATCGACACCTTCAGTAGATTCCCTTAACAGGGTGCTACCATAGCGAATCAGAAGCCCAAGACAAAACAGTGACCTGCCAACCTGCTACATAATTTGAAAAGGTAAATTTGATTCAGAAGCAGTAAGGTTATAAATTCTATCCTACCAACTAAGGAAAACAAGCAAAAGAAAAGAACATGAAAAACTGAAAATAGACAGTGCATGCATTGTAGGAAAAGGTAGAAACTACAAATACGTAGCATAACCAAAGCTGCATAATACATAATATCTATATATTCCAAGTCAATACAATACATTTAAAACAGTGGATCCAATTATAGTATAACAATCATTATTTTGTATATGCTAAATTTAGGACCAGGACTCCTTCATCCAATAAAATTCAAGAGCACATTAATGATGATGTACATCAAACAATATTTCTATGAATTGGCTCAGATTAGTGACCAAAGCGAAGAGATTAAGGACTGAAACAAGAGATGAAGAAGAAAGAAAGAGTAAAAAAGAACAAATATGAGTGAATTAATGCTAACCAAGGTTCTAATCACCAAATGCAGCCTCGCTAATCTTTTGAGAGGAATACTACTCTCCTAATACTACAACTGATCACTTATCACAATGTTCTACACAATGATTTTAGCCTAACATTGCTCCGTATGTTCTGTTGGATAATATTCCTTCAATATAAAGCTAGCTTGCTTTTCTTCATAAGACAATTCTTTCACTTGGCTTTTAAGCTTCCTTATTTTGACCTTTCAAAGTACGCAAATTTTGCAGTATAATACATTACTACCTAATTCCCTTTGGTTCACAATAAATTGCGACGGGAGAATAAAAAGTGAGTAAATGGTGAGAGACCACAAATAACTATGTAATCAACTTAGAAAAACCTTGTAAATTACCCACAATCATGGTTTGAAATGCCGCTACAGTCACGAATGCGATAACGATTGTGGTATTGGAGATGATGCATGAACTGGATCGCGCTTATGTGACATGAAAGTGGTTTAAAATTCTTTTTTTGAAATTATAGTAACAAAAATCTAGTATAATATTGAATATATTAGAGTTTTTAAGGCCATTATTAGAGTAATGACTAATGAGTTGAGAAAAGTTGCATAATTGTCTAAATAGCTAGGCATCACATGTAATTGGGCCAAATATCAGCCACGAACCCACGATTGGTTTTAAAGACCAATACAACGCGAAATAAATCCGTGCGGTAGATTTGAAAACTGATACAACTCAGCAAATAATACATTGGGGCCGATTTTTTAGTTTTTACACCATGCCCACAATATCATGTGAGTAAGGAGCATAGAAACGTATCCTATGTTTGGATCAAAGGAAATAGAGGGAAAGGAAGGGAAGGGAAATAGAGGAATGGAGTATCTTTCATTTCGATAACAAATGAGGAAGGAAGGGAATAGGATAGGTAATAGATGGAGGGTTTAAATTATAAGAAATTGATCTCTTCAACAATTGAGAGATTAAGAGGGAAAACTCATCATTATTATAAGATAGTGGAAAAAAGGTGAAAGCGATCACAAACAATGTGAATAAAAAATTTGTGATAAGGGTATCTTAGGAATTAGCCGTGTGAAAGGGATGTTGAATTTCCTTAAGAGAAAAGATCGCAACGGTACGACATTGGTGAAACTTCCTTAAAAAATAGTTGTTGAATATTTAAATAATAAAGGAAAATATGGAAATTTGATATGAATACAAAAGAAACACATTGGTATTATATATGATAACCATAATAGCTAAAATACCTTAAAATGAATACATAATAAGGGTATTCAAAACACCACAAATGGACTCGTATGTGAGTACAAATGTGTGGTACAATATGATGAATTTTGGATAGTGAAATTATCTAAAAAAACAAAAAGATTTTATTCATTAGCTTGAATAATTGTGGATCAAATAACAATGCGAATAACTCCCTTCGTCCTATTTAGTTGACCGGGTTTGACTGTCACAAAGTTCTAGGCATATTATTTGACTTAGGGTTTTTGGGGGGGGGGTGAATTGATTTTGGTATTTTTACGTGAAAATTACTTTATTATGTGAAAGTAGTGGAGTAACTTTTTAGTGTAGTTAGTTTGTTGTGGGGCCATAAGTTTTGTTGGTGGAAGTGAGAGATCATTTTTTAATTATTTTCATAGAAGTTGGGAAAAAAGCGGGACTCATATCAAGTGAAAGAAACAATGTAAAATTAATGGGACCATTCCTTTTCAGGAATAGGCACTTTTTTGTGTAAGACGAGAATTATGACATGTAAATTTCATAAAATGCTTCCTATTTTCAGTTGAATCACAAAATGATGGGGGTAATTACTTAAGCACCCCGTTCTCCGGAAGCCAACCAGCTAGAGTGATACTCCGATGCCCTGGAACGGGCGACACAACCAAGCTTGTTATTTTGCCTGAGACCATCCAAGAACTTCTTGATTTCAGCATCAAAAAATTTGGACGCCATTGTACTAAAGTAACGACTTTGGACGGAGCTGAAGTCGATGAGATTGAGCTAATTAGAGATGGTGATCAACTTTGTCTCATATGTGAAGAAATCAATATGCCTGAAGTGTGTCAACAATAGGGCAACCCTATAAAGAAAGTGTTTCAAATGAACAGAGGCGGAAGGAGTATGTGATATGAATATCTTTTTTTCCAAAACAAAATGAAAATTGGGTATCAAATACTTCAAAGATGTTTGCCAAGATTCAATAATTATGCATTTAAACAAATTTAACACTCAAAAAGATGTTATAGCAAGTTCAAAAATTGGACACCAATTCCTTAAGAGTTAGTTGATTCAATAGAGATATTCAAACATTGTAATTGGAAAACAAAAATACTAACCCTTTTTTTAGATTGAAGGAAACGGAGAGAATGATGAAATATATTTCATTTGGATAACAAAAGAGGAAGGAAAGGAATTGGAAGGAAAAAAAATAAAGGGATTAAATTGTAAGAATTGATCTCTCCAACAATAAAGAGATTTGGAAGGAAAACTCATCATTCTTCCCTCCCTCCCTTTCCATTCCCTCCTCTTCTTTTCATTTTCAGTTCTTTATCCAAACACACTGTAAGTAATCCTTCTACAATATGCAAGCTGATATTGTGCTGAGAATCTAGATGATCCTTACCTATTCCCTCACTAGAAAGGAATATTATAGTTAATTAAAAAGAATATGAAGGAATAAGAAGGAACCAAATCTAAGGGGAGAAAATTAGATATGCCGGAATTTATAACTATCAAGGTGAGAATCGCCAATTACAAGCTTGCCAACATTCAAGAGGTTGGTGTTCTCCCAATCAATAATTCTACTTCAGCTTTTCTCACTAACCCTCAATATGCTACCCACCCACTTTTCTTCCCTCACAAATACCTGACTTGCTCTTTACTCCAACGCTCTAACTAGAATAACTAGATTATTCCTCTTGTTACTAATCTGAAGAATATTTCCTTTATTGTCATTTACCTTTCTTCTAGTAAGGTTGATTCTATATACATTGTCGTCTTAATGGTTGTTGCAAAGACTCACCCTAAATCTCCTGTGCTCGTCACATACAGCAGAAAATCACCCAAGAAAAATGCAAAGAACAAGTGACAATGAAATGAAGTCAACAGATGATAGAGTTTATAAGAGGGTAAAGGGGTCTCTTAGCTAAGAGTTTGTCAGAAAGAAAATTTGTTACGAAAATCATTAGTTATATATAAATAAGGGAAAGCTGAAAGCGAGGCGTGCTGAATGTAGAAAGAAAAAGTAATGGGAGGATTTATCAGCCTTCAAACAGTGATAATTTGTAATAGTTGGTTACACTGATCATCAATACAAGTGGTTAATCCTTCCCTAGGTTAATCGTATTCGCTGAATTTCTTAAAACTAGTTTATTACCCATTCAACACATGGATGCTACTAGCTAAATAGAAGCTTGCAAAAAAAAAAATGTTTAAGGAAATGAAATAAACTTGAATTTTGAGAAGTGAAAAACATAATATTAATGACATGTAGTAGCATAAAATCCAAACTAGTGTAAAAATAAAATCATTTAAAATGACTAAAATTACATATAGAATATATTTATTAATTTATTTTTTGACATTACAAACATGAAATTATATTAACAATACCTTTTTAAAACCCCGTGAAAAATAATCCTTTTTTAGAAACTTATAATTATGAAACTAAAGAACAATAAGAGAGTTATCATTAAACGGTAACTTTTATTATTTGCTTTTTGTAAAAGACTTGATTCCTTTTCTTTTTTAGGGGGTAAATATTACATAATTACAAACCTTGCCATTTCAAAGTAAAATAAGCACATAATTATAAGGGTAACTACATTAGATAGAATCAATTAATAATCATTCAAGGATTTATGATATTAAATCTCAATAAGAGAATCATCATTAAACTATAACATGTGTTACTATGCTTTTTTTTATAAGACTTAATTCCGTTTTTTTGGTAGATATTACTATAAATTCTAGTTTACGACTTTACAATCCCTGTCATTTCAAAGTAAAATAATCACATAATTATAAAGGTGAACCACACAATAGACAAGAATCAATTAATAATCAATCATGGATTTATATTCTATGGTATGTCAAAATACTTCAATTTATGGCCAAATAAATTCAATATCTAATACAGTGGTCTGACATTTAAAAGTATGATAATCAAGCATTTATTTAATTTTATGAACATTTCTTTTTTTTTTTTTTTTGAGTAAAAGTCCATCCAATGTTCAACTGTCATAAATTTAATTTTAAACACATTGACCTATTTTAAAGGAATAACATAATAATTATAGTAGCAGCCATAAGAATTATCTTTAGGAAAAGTATAATTTGAAAGATTTTTTAAGGAGAATAAATTGTGGATATAGTTTAAAACATATGATGATAAAAGGTATGATTTTTTGGGTACTTTTATATTATTTAATATAAACGATATTGTTGAAAAAAAAAAATTCGAAAGAATTTGTATTATGGTCAGGTGGTTCAAAATCTTCTAATTAAGCAAGTGTAACAGAAAGATTTTGGCACGTTTAGAAAAGAATAATACAGTAGAATAAAATTTAAGATTTCTACACAATTTAAATTTTAAAAAACTCTTATAGTTAAAAATATCAAGGAGTATAATAGATGATCAATTCTGCCGGGAAGAATAAGATTCTAGTCAAATGAACAGAAAACTTTTCCAAAAAGTAAAAGTTGAAATAAAAAAAATAAGCAACAGAGAGAGAGAAGTTGGCTCTCTGTTAGTATAGAGTTATAGATTGCTAAAAAAAATACCTAATTCTTAGTAATTGTTTCTTCAATTGTGGTAACAAAGTAGGTAACATCACGTATGTGTAGCAGAAATAATGAAAGAATAAGAGATGAGAACTACACTAAAGTAGCTGGAGGGATATAAAATTGATTTATGTTAAGATAATCAATGATCACAAATACATAATAATGATTACACGATGCATGCTCATTCACTTAACAAATGTAGGCTTAGGGCCAAAGGTTTTTTTTTTTATTAAAGAAGAATTTCTAAGCAATATAGGACTCAAGTTTACCAAAATAAGTATGAACAAATCAGCTGACCCAACCCAAATCCCGGGCAGTTAAAAAATGAGGTTAAATCAACTGAAGTGAAAAATACATAATAGTAATAGCAATAAATATGACTAAGTCAACTGCATTAGATTGAAAAAGAGGAGCTGACAATTAAGTAATAGGAACTAGTTCAATTAACAACAACAATAACAATAGTAATAAGAATTATGAAGCTGAAAAATAATGAATTGAACGAAAAACTACAAAATAAGTCCAAATGAACAGGGTCAAAGTCCATTCCAGCCCATCCAATTTACACCCTTAAAAACAGCAAGCAATTGTCATCATTTAGACAAAGATAACATGTATGAGAAACTTTGACATATACTTCCTCCATTTCTATTTAGTTGACACGTTCAATTTAGGCACACATATTAAGGAGAGAATGATAAAGCAAGTGGGGTACACTGAAAAAAGCAAGGTATAAAACTTACACAAAAAGGAAACGTGTCAAAAAAGATAAACTTCCTAAAAAGGAATACGTGTCAACTAAAAAAAACGGAGGTAAGTATGATACAAACATTCCCAGTAATCCAATAGCAATTATAATAAATGCATCTTTTGTTCAGATTTCTAATACTCAAAGCTTGTAATCTTGTTAATACTCAGTTAGCTATAACATACATCAATTGAAAACAAATTAACAACAAAATTTTGATATTTTACTACTCATTGTGCACACACATAAATTCCAAATCAGAGAAACTTTAGACAGGCGTTTTAAGGAAATTAGTTAACTTCTGCACAATTAAAGTAACATCAAGGATATTGGATAGTAGCATTAGAGATGGTGAGACAACCCTAACAAAATTGGCAGGAGCAAACCTGTTTGTTATCAACACCAAGAGCATCCAAACGCTTTTCGAACACCTGAATCAGAAACTGAATTAACCTAGCTCCCTTTCCACCAGCAATTTTATTCAAAGAGCAAAGACACCTACAGCAGATGGGGATGTAATTTCATCAGATGGGGTTGTGCAAAAAATAAATGCACAAGAAAATTTAAATGAGCATAGGGATTATTTTATAGCCCATTCTCTGAAGACCCAAAACCAGGTATTAGAGAAAGCAAAGTATTTTTTAACATAACTCCTTTTAATGGGTAATGATGTACCTTAAACTGCCTCATGTATCTCGGACATTTTGCTATTAATTATTTTGAAACACAGAAGCCTGATTATTTATTTATTGTCAGAGATCACCAAAACCTACTTCATACTCCCTTGATTCTATATTTTTCTAACCACTTAACCAATTTATTCTATTTCATAAAACCTGCCATTTGGAATACAGAATGTGCTATTACTTGTATGTATAAGATATCAATGCAACAGTATCAGTTTTGAAAGCAACTCCTTAATATATGTGCATATCATTGCTTATTTTTTCACAATCATCAACTACAAAGACCCAGCAATTACAGTTACTATGGCAAAAAGGATACTAGACTGAAAAGCTGATTAATAAACAAGCAGTAAGTATGTTTACTTGATGCAAGCATGTACAACAGTCAAAAAGGAATGACGAACAATCATCTGCTTCAGATCCTGCTCGAGTTCTTCAACAACACTTTGAGGCAACTTACGCAGTAAAGGAAGAACAGCATCAATTATAAATATAACACTTTCCAAAAGCTGGGCCATAACTCGATTATCAACCTTATACAAGAACAAAAAAAATCATCAAACAAGGAATAATGTAACTTCAGCATCACCTCCCCCCCACCCTCTCTCTCCTCCTCCAAAGGAAAGAGGCTGTGAAACAGCACAAAAAAAAAATTTATTAAGCTGAATTAACTCTACAATTTCTATATATTATTTTACTTCCTAACAACACTATGCAATAGAGGACGTTGAAACAAAATACGAAGGTGAGAACTTGAAAGTATGACATGCAGAAGTTTGCAAGAGGATACAATAATATGAACTTTAAGTGAAAATTACATGGATACCAGTATAGTTATATATCACTAAGAAAATGCAGGGGCAAAAAAAAAAAAAAAAAAAAAAAAAATCAATACTCATTACATCGCTCTTTACTTCTAATTTTTGACGGAGTAGTAGATAAGTTCATAACCTTTTATACAAGGGCATAGCAAAAACAGCACCTTTCAGTAACACCTAACCTGCCTTTTTAGAGCATTAAGGGAGCAATTGGTTCAAGAAAGGGAAAGATATTTAACAAAGAAAAAACTGGGGAAGGAAAGGTTAGATGTCAAGTTTATCTTGTTGTTTGTTTTAGATCTAAGGAAGGGAATCACTCAATATTCCACCATCCCATCCCTCAACTCTTCCACCACTCTTGCCCTTTGACTTTCCCAAAACAACCACCATTTTCCCAGTACTCCTCCGCTCCTCCCTCTGATTAAAGCCGTCGCTGCTGCCTTCTACTTCGTCCACCACTCAATCCCTACAATCAGAGTAGGATTTCTTTCATGATCTAGTGGTTGGGGTTGTTATATGATGGATGGAGATGAGTTCTTCTGGGTAAGTGAAGGCTTTTTTTAAGGCTATAGAGGTGTTTCCAGATGGGCCGTGCATGGGTTTTCAATTGGATGTGGATATTTACTGGTGGACTGTGGTGGTTTTTGGGGTGGTTGGTGGTGGTGGCGTGGATTTCTGAAGGTTGGGTAAGTGGTGATGTATAAGGGTGGTGGTGGTCGAAGTAGTGGTCTATGATGGTCAAGGTGGCTATGTAGTAGAGGGAAGAGGTATATGGGGAATAAGAGTAGAGAACTTGGGGTGATAGAGTGGGGGAAAGAGAATAATTTAATTGGCATAACAAACAATTAAGGTAATCATCATTATTGATTCCCAAACCAAACGCCCCCTAAGAGTAGTAGATTAATGGCATTGCATTGTATTGTATGGTGACTGTTTTGTTGATGTTTCAACTCTCTCCCCTCAGACTTAGTTTTTACAAGCGCGCCTAGGCGCACTTGAGGCGCGAGGTGCGAGAGAAAATGCCTCTTAGTAGTAAAGCGTAGCTCATTCCAGGAAGCACGCACTTCAACGCCTTTTCTGCGCTTTTCCACTTTTTTGTCATAGGACAGGACACGTGATTTTTTTAAGAAAATTTCAAAAAAATCAGCTTTGAGTAAAAGAAGAAAGAGCATGTTGTTGAAGGGGTTAAAAAGGCTGTCCTGTACAAAACCACAGCCACCAGTGAACCACTTGGTTCTCGCTAGAAACTAGTCGATCCTTGGTGGAAATCGCTGGCTTACAACTTTACCATTTATTTGCTTTTTTTCTTCTAATTCTTCCTTCTCCATTTCATTTATTTTTCTTGGTTTTTTTTTCCTTTTTTCCTCTTCATTCTCTCTTTCTTGTTGTCAGCACTCCCTTCATTCTCCTCTGTTTTTTTTTTTTTTTATTTTTACAAATGTCTGCTCTTGTTAATCTGTTTCTGATTTTTTTTTTTTTTTTGAAGAATGTTTCTGATTTTTTAAATGAATCTGTTTATATTTTATCATTTTTTTTTTCGATTTTTTTTTTCTTTTGGTTTTCCAGTTTGTATCTTTTAATTTTGATTTTTGGCTTTTCTTTATTCTTCTTTTTTTTTTTCTTTTCAGTTTTCCAGTTTCTCTTATTCAGCTTTAATTGTACTCCAACTTTGTTATTTCAGCTAAGAACATGAATGTTATTTCAGCTAAGAACATGAATGAATATTCAACCCTTCCTTCCACGGGATCATCCATTCTATCTCTTTGTTATGCTCTTTTTTTTTCTTCTTCCATTCTATCTCTTCGCTCTCTACTTTTCTCCATTCTTTCTCAATCTTCTTATTTTTTTCTTTTGCTGACGGAACTTCTTCTTCTCCTTAATATTCTCTCTTTCCTCTGCGATCTCTACCCAGCTAGTTAGCTATGATAACACAAACTTTTCCTTATTATCTTTAATTGATAAAGTAACAAAAGCCTGTTGCCTCCTTTTGACTTTGTTAATCACGTGACCCTCTTTATATATATATAATTATTTTACAATAAAGTTTTAATTATTTATTATGCTTAAATTTGAATTTTTTTTTCGGAATTTTTTTTAGGAAACCTATATTTGATTCAATTTTATGTATTTGTTGATTTAGATTTCATTTGTAGATGTCATATGGCTTATTAATAATAAATTGATATGTTTAAAAAAATGAGTTTTTTAAATATAAATTATTAACAATAACAAAAAAACCTGCAACATTTCTTCAAGATCAAGCACTAAAATCAAATAAAATAATTATCACTTTAATTTGGTTTTTTTAATAATTTTTAATGCCAAAAAAGAAGTAAAATATAATATATTAAAATTAAAAGATTTGCGTTTTGTATCCAAAAGGCGTGCACTTTTGCTTTGCACCTCGCGCTTTTTAAACAAAGTATAAAAGTGATTTTTAAGGTTTTTGGCACTTAAGGTTTCCAGGAGGAGCGCGCCTCCGCCTTGCGCCTAGGTTTCCAGGACCCTTTGCGCCTCGGTGCGCCTCATGCTTTTTAAAACTAAGCTCTCAGATGTACCAACATTTGATCAAAGCATAGTTAGGATGACAAGATACTGTTCTTTAATCTCCATTGCAACTGGGGTCATAGAGCTGATTTGGTCAAAATAAACAAAAAAAAAAATCTTTCATTTCATAAAACTGACTTCCTTGGTCATGTCATTGATAATACAATCGCGGTAAGTAATTGTAGCCTCTCTGGAGACCCAAACTGGTTTGAAGCAAGGAGAAAGAATGAACCAAGCCCTTACTTACCTATCTATCTCAGAGCATCAATGCAATTAATTACCCCAACCTCTACCCCAATATAACAATCCCCTAAAAACCGAGGCATCCTGTATTGTTATATAGCCCAAAACTAAAGGAAATCTGTTCTCTGATCTCTGAAACTCAGGCAACTTCAGCACTAGTTCAGTGAGCTAACCTCAAAAACTGGTATTAAGTTTGATAGCAAGTAGACAGTGATTATGCTAATTTGACTTGAAGACATGCAAAAACAGAATCGAGAAGAGTCTCTTAAGAGAGCATAGATATTATGATGAGATGAGCAAATGAGCTCAAACTCTTCACAACCACTTCTAACATCATGTAGTTTATACCTCAACTGGTTTTCCAAAACAGATCATAATGACTCCCACACCGAGTATGGATCTAAGCGACAGGTTAGAGTCCGTCCTACTAGAATATTTTTAAATACCATTTAAAGGAAAAAGCCCATTATACCTAGCTCAGCAATTATTTTAAAGCTTAATCATCTGAAATTAGAACCATATCATCCAACAAAAAAAGTTAGGTTCAACACATTCATCTCTACTATCTAAATCATAAATACAAGATATAAAATGAAACAGGCCTTCTTAGAATTCTCATCACAAAAGCGATCTAAAAGAAAAAACACCAAATGAAAGTAAAATATACACAACAAACACTCAGCGAAATAGAATAGTGATTAGTGAATAGCATATACAAATTACCTGATTCTTAAGATATGGCTGCAGTGTGACAACAAACTGGGAAGGATTGGAGGCAGGTGCACAGAGTGACGGATCCACGACACAAAAGGCATGCAAAACCGTCACATAAGGAAGTATCCGCAACTCCCCTTCTTCAGAGTTCATTTCCTCTACCTGTTAAAAAATGTTCATATCACACAAATGATACCAAGTTTACTCACAAAATATGCAGCAAGAATACCTGTAAAATTCTTTCAAGTGAAAATTTGCACATCATTTCACAACGCTTGTGCACTGTCGCCAGTAATACAGGATTAGCCCCGGTTCCCTTCGACTGAGGCAAAAAATCAAGAGCCAAATTGCGTTTGATAATAGTGACAAGGGGTTGATGATTAGGCATCTTCCTTAACATGTCAACTATCTGTTCAGTCTTTCTAGCCACCTCTAACGGCACAGAACTATCATCTCCAAAGTACTGTCTCCCAGCAGGTTCTTCAAACCAGAATTCATAAAATGTTTTGCACACAAGATCCTGTTATCAAGATAAAAGTGTTGCATATTATATACAGCCTAGAAAACAAGATCAGCACAGCAACAAGTAGAATTTTTCAAAGAACAAAGAACGATATTTATGCAAAGTTCTCAAGTCCAAATGCACCGGCATTATAACAACCTTTCTGATATACGAGTCTAGATAAATACAAATCCACAGAGACCTATCAAAGTTTTGGCAAATGCCTAAGTACAAGGTGCAACATAGAGCAGGCTTAGTGGCTCAAACAACATATAACATCCTATGAAGCTCCGACATAAGCTGAAGTAAGCTACATGCCTAATTTAATGGAATGCAAGACAAGCTCTTTAGAATCAACCCTTTTGCTTTGCTCAAAGATGACTAGATCCAGCCTGCTTACCTGTACGGTGGTGATTATTCAGTCAAACACCACTCAACTTGGAAAAAATTCAGCCTTCCATTTTCTTTTCCATTCATTTGTGGTATCCATGTCAAAGACTTGACATTTCTTAATGGCCTATGGGCCAACACAAGCAAAATTGGCATAAAGCAGCCAGGGTTTTCCACTTGGATAGAACCCTGTTTCAGCAGTTATAAACAAGTTTGACTAACGTATTTTTCTTTCCCACCAAAAATATTCTCTCCTATGCCTCCTTCCAAGTTTTATTTATTGTCTCCTTCTGCCACAATGTCCCACTTGTACGGCTCATTGGATGCTCATCCTATTAAAAACAACCCCCCCCCCCCCTCTAAAAATTAAATTGTTAACACTATGGGGAAAAAGAACCAAAGAAAAAGCACAGGAGATGCAGCTGTTGCATGCAAGCTTCATCCAACTACTGACAGACAAGCACCACCCCACCCCCCCCCCCAGCTCCCTGCATCCATCCACGATTATTACAGATTTTCTTTCTACCACTATCTTCATGTACCAAATCCCCAAATTCAGTTGTTTCAGCCAATTTCAGCCAAGAAATCTCATTTCCTTCTTAATCTCCTTTTTTTCTTTTTCATTTATAAGGTCTACTGTGCAACACATTATTGCCAAGTAATGCAAACTGTACCATTCTGTTTATATCCCCTTGTAGTTGTGTACACCCATAAAACAGGGTTAGTCACAGCAAAGGTTAAAATAGGAACATGCAGTGTGAAGTTTTTTACAAGAGAAAGGTATGGTGTTTGAATATTAGGCATATGAACGGATTGAACATTACCTAATCATACAAGCCTGTTTTCTTTTATTTTCTTGGGGAGAGGGGGGGGTGGAGAAAGACAAGCCTGTTTTCTTTTATTTTGGCATAGTTCCTATCTGCTTTAATTACTTCTAGATATGTACTCACATCCACTGTAATTGTTCCATTGAACCTCCATTTGATACATTTCACTGAGGGGTCATCCTAAATCTTGGCAGTTTATCCAGATTCCAGATTATGCCTAGCCAGTTCAATTACCACAATAATATTTTAAAAAGAAAAATGAAGATTTACATTTAACACGTTTGGATAATGGATAAAAGCTTAAAAATCATAGTATAGCCTATACCTGAATACTTGATTCTTCATCACTTATACGGGAAATGATCTCAATGCAAGCAGGTGCAGATTCCACAAACTCAACATTTGATGTACACATATCTCGGATTATTTTGATCGCCCGTTTCCGAACACTTACCCCAGTATCCTTAATTCTCTCCGCAACCTTTTCAAAATACTATGATACATAACACACAATAAGAAACTGCACCAATAAAATCACACAAACATACAAAAAATGTAGGAGAACTCATACATACTTGCAACCCAACATCTGGATGAGATGCGATATGCCTTCCAACAAGTTCCAAAGCAGCCTCTCTAACAGATATTGCAGAATCACAGAACCTTCCTTCAACGGCAAGTTGAACACGCTTATCACGCAAGACATCAGGATCGGCCTCTACAATTATACTAACCTGTTTAATTGGCAGCAAAAAAGAGTGGTCAGCAACTCAGTAGATGTCCAAAATCCACCTAAGTAAGAAATCATGACAAAAATCAATTTTAAAGGAGACAGATACAAAATAAGATGGATATCAAATTCACTTACAGCACGCAATGCCTTAGCCCTAATTACAGGTGAATTGTCTCGTAGACTAACCTGAAATGAGTTTCTAAGTTAAAAAGGAATGATTCATTCAACGCAAGATAACTGGAAAATATGTTAACACTAACCAAAAGCATGCCAAGAATAGTATCAAATCCTCTGGAAAATGAATTATTCTGTCCAAGACACAAAGTTATCTTTTTAATGGAATCTCTGGTTAACGTCGATGACAAGGCCCCTGAATCACGAATAACTGCTTTGGATTTCAATCTGGCAAGGCGATAGCTGAACTGCTGCTGATTTTTTGGATCATCTTTGTACCAGAGGCAGAGATACAACCTGCAAATATAAAGTAGCTATAAGGCACAACAAATTTTGCACCACATTATCAAAATATCATTACGTTAATTTTTTATAACAAAGACTTATGCACTTATCTACAATTAACGAACAGTGAAAATTAAAGCTGTGGTAGGCAGTTACAAAAATAGGGGAAAATCACATTTTAACTAGAAGAAGAAAATCAGCTTGGTTCTTCTGATGATCCTTTCCAAGATACTTGGAGTTGAGTACAGAACCTAAGTACTAAAATGAAAAAAGACTAAATGACAAGTATCATAGGATCAGATTAAGCAGACACATACCAACGAGCAAAAAGATGAAGATCATCAGATGAGCCCATTTCTTCAAGGTAATTAAGAAGCATCTGTTGAACAATCTCCATCTTTGAAGCAGACTCATCAGGCAAATTTTCTGATCTATTATGATTGTTTTTGCTATCATCCTTGATCTGAGATTTGCAGTATGATTGTAACACTATAAGTTGCTTTTTACAGAGACAGCAAGGGCACTGCCAACCACGCGTAGAGATGTCATGTTCTCTGACCCCCACACAATCAGGATGAAATGGTCTCTGACAGCCTTGACATATCACTAGAGCTTTTTCGACTACTCCATCTAAGCAAACAGAGCAAGTACCTGTCTGTTCATTCTCATTTATACTTTCCCTACCTAACAGCTCCTGAACTATCCAATTGTTATCACTATGGCAAAGAACAGACTCATGCTTTAACCGTGCAGCAATTGTACCAAGAATATCAATCGCCAATGAGCGTATAGAAATATCTTTTGATTTTGGACCAGCATTCTGAAGCAACAAGACACAGAGAACCTGCAAGCAACCATCTTTAGATGTGGAAAATTTAGAAGCAAACATTAAGCAATAAGCACCAATAGTGGAATTCTTACTTCTAAAATGAGGGAAGCAGCAGGGTACTCTGGCAGATTCAATGTAGTTAGCAGATCAACCACAATATTCTCCATTATCACCTTCACTTCGGATGCCTCTTGACTTTTACTTGTAAGTCGCTCAAGTACATGAGTCCAAAATGAAACGCATGCCTCTGTGGCTGCCTCATTGCATTGAACCAGGTAGTTTGTTTCAATAGTAGTTTCAAAGATGGCACTGATACTTGATGTTTGCCTCAAGGCTTCAGGAAGATTAGCACTATGGAGAACTAACTGAAGCAGTAAAGCAGTAATCATTTGAATCTGCTTCTGCTCTTCATCAGGTAAATGATATGCTCTGGCAGCTCTTTTTGAGAATGGAAGCTTCCATAGAAGTTGAATAACTTCATCAACAACATAGCTCCTATGCTGAGTGTATGAATAGAATACCTGCAATCTCAATGACAGAAAAAGTTAGATGTGTGGACAGAAGCATTGCAAAATTAAGGAAACTCCAGGTAAATGGAAAGTCAAAATGTATTGTTTTAATACCCCACTGATCAGGCTCATAGCCTTCATTTGCAAGAGTTGAATATTGTCAACCAAAAATGTTGACAAACACGTTTTCACAAGCTGCAAGATACAGCTGTCTGAGAGGCGTTCAACTAGCAAGAGGTCCTTTAGAAGACCAAGGATAGTACAAAGCTTTTGAAACACAGTGTTCACAGCAGCTGGAATCCTAGGAGTCAACAACCACATACAGCATGTCATTGTTTCTTGGAGACAAAGAAGAATATCTAAAGATCAGTACAAAGTTTAAAGCAGAGTGAACAATAACAATAATAACAGAATAATGAAAATAAAGTATAAATTAACACTTTACAGCTGCATTGAAATGGGTGTAATCACTTAGAAGAAATCAATGACCATAAAAAGCATATTGCAGAACCAAACTCACCTGTTAGCCACAGTTCTTTTTACTTTTATACTCTTAGTTATACGCCGTTTTTTGCTTGCAGAACCAAACTCAGCCTCGATATCTGGATCATCTTCCCCTGGAAAGCTAGTTTCTTAGTATGATTATCTAAAAGCACGTGCCTAAATTTGAGATGTAAAAGTAAGGCAAATAAATGTGGCTCCATAACAGTGGGTTGTAATTGCCATAATTTTACAAAACAGATGTTGACACAAATAAAAAAATTAAAAAAAAATGGTCCAGCACTCATCTTTCCTAAGCCACCTACCTTCAGCAACTCTGTTATCACCAGGTCTATGCAAAGCGCGATATGATGGATCATAAGCTGATATCACGTCCATGACCTGACGTCTGGTGAACTCAAGAATTCTCTCAATAATCTAATAGTAAGAAGATCACCACTTAAATCTGGTATAAACAGCTATTCTCACAGTACTTGACAAATAACATACCAGGGTAAAAATGAAAGCAAGCAATGTACTACACTTATGAAGTAAAATTGGAAGAAAACATACCTCTTCCTTATATAGTTGCTTTGGCATGTCATTAAAAGCCATTACAGCCAGAGCAGCATGAATAGACTCCAAAGCACAGAGAATCGATGAAACATCAGAATCTGACTGAAAAAATTTTCACAGAAGTAATAGGACGTCAGAAAACACAGAACATAACTCACCAAAAATTCTTATAGCGCAAGAGAATATACCCTCTCCACCCCCTTCCCCCTCACATCCAGTGGATGAGAGAAAAGCATTAAATATTAACTTACATTTTGACATTCATCAATTGATAGGCCTTCAGCGCGATGAATCTGATGGTCTAAAACCGTTAATAGTCTCACAAGAAAATCAACAGGAACTCGATGTACCAATTTTTCTTCTCTGATAGACAATATCTCCTTCACTACCATACGAATGTCAGAGGTGGGTAACATTAACCACTCCGATTCATCTCGCTCTTCACCAGGAATCTCAGCCCTACTACAAAAGTCCTCCAAAAAATCACAGAATCGCCCGATCATAGCATCTGACAAGTTTGATCAACATTAGTCTTAATGTAAAAATTTATAGAATGGAACACCAAGATGCCACTTCCAGTTATTGGTTAACTATACTAACCTCTTTGTTCACTGAAATCTGGCAAAGCAGATGATGACACTCCCTGGGTTCCTTTCTTCTTAGCTCTTGTTTTTTTAGATGATGAAGGTGTATCCTAAAATTCAGTTTGCAATTAAGAAATAAAAGGGTCTGAGCATAATGTTTAAAAATTTAAAGACAAAAATGAAAGGATAACATACATCAACAACATGAGCATGACGGTCCATGTGTCTTTCTTCATGGACTCCATCAACTTGACAGGATACATGCTCATTCTTCTCATGAATGTTGCGATCAGACTCCACATTAGAGATTCGCTCTTCAAGAGGACCTGAGAAACTTGAACGAGACGATAAACAATAAGGGACATTCACCACTTTCATCCAAGATGAACAGGAGACTAGTCATGGGAGTAAAAGGTGAAGATCTATCCAACTGCCTAATCCCTAGGAAGACAACATAGATTTGATTATAAAAACTTCAACAAACGACGTCTCTCGGTGAGATATAAGGCAATTCAGCTTTTATGATTTTATGAACAATATCACTGCAGTGTGATGATTGAAGAAATTTTACTTAGTCTTGGTATCATGAAGAGTTGATCACAAGATGTTACCCAAAAAAATCAAAAATAAAGGAGAAAAAATATAGACTAAAAAGTAAAAAGTCACTTAAAAAGCTTTAGAGGGAACATATTTGGACTCCCCTTATCAATTACCAAAGAACCCCTCTGATTTTTCTAAAACCATATTACACTTCACACTAACAGATCAACTATAATCCCTTTTTCATCCTCTTCAAGTTTTTAAAAACATCTAAGTCCATAGTTATATTTTGATGAAGATATTGGTCATCCTTATACTAATTCCCAACTCACTAAAGTCTAATATGCGATTTCCTTTGCCCATTGGCTTAGAAGGCCAGCAATTCCATGCAATGTCCCTTTATGAGCTAAAAAACCCTCCTTACATGATGCGATCATGGAGACAGCCCCGAAACAACATTATCACTAGGAATGCCTCACACAAAATCCACAACAGCACACATTGATTTTAACAAATTGTTCCAGTTTAAAGGTGTGATGTTCCTCACAAAAATCCTCCTCCAATCACTCAAAATTGGTTTCACCGCCTTATTTGACTCTTTTCATAGTTTTCGTTTGAGTCATGTTATCATATATCATAAACACTTCATTTCCCCTTCAGCTAAGGCTATATGAGGAGCAGTGTCCGTAATTCCTCATCATCCAAATTTGTTGGGCACTCCATTCTATCCCACCCTTGAGTATAGCTATCAAGCTAATATAATTCACATTCCACAAGTTCAAATGGCTGCATAGATTGTAAACTCGATTCCTCATTTGATATTTTAAACCAAAAGACGAAACATCTAATAAGCCACCAACTCATATGAATTCTCAAGCCCGTTGATAGAAAAGATCACGAAAGTAAACTAGAAGTGAGATACATCAGCACCAGTTCTACAATGCCTAGAATTAATCTTATCAGTTTTCAATCAAAAAAATAAAATAGATAAATAACGGCAGCCAAGAATTTTGAAAATTGTTGATTCATAATCAGCATTTGTCTCTCATTGGATTTTATCACAGCCAAACATCAACGAGTAGAATTTTAAAATTGTTGATGTAAAATCGGCATTTGTCTCTCGTTCGGATTTAATCATTCATATAGCTGGAACGACTCCATTGAATTGCCATATGAAACTACGCTTACCTGGAAGTGTACACTCGAAGGCGTCACGATTGCATCGTAAAACCTCCTCGCAAAGATCCATAGGCGCCATTGTAGAACCAGAACCTGAACTCGCATCATTTTTAAGATTCCTGACGAATTAAACACACTGTAAGACTACCAGCAGCAGCAAATAAATTCAAAAATTCAAACCAAAATTCCAATCACTCGCACAAAAATCACCTCAATTCAAATTCAAATTCAAAGCCAAACTCAAATTAAACCACAAAAAAAGATATAGAGAGAGAAATTAAGCACATACAAGTAAGAGACGTCAGTATGAAGCAAGAGATCGGCGATTTTCGGAGCTTGAGCAAGGATATCACGGCGGTTTAGCGGGCGAGAGAGGTGATCATCGAATAGCCGAAGCTGCTCGTCGGAAGCACCGCAAAACGGCGGAAGAGACGGCAGAGGTAAGCAAGGCGCAACCTCGGAGTGTAGAGTGTTGGAGAGAGTGACGCCTCTTTGAGTCCAATCGCTGAAATTGGTGCTCATTTTTCAATGAATTATAGCAATTGAAGTGAAATTTGGTTGGAATTTGATCATCAATTGATGAAATTCAGTGAAATTGGAATTTCAATTTCTGGAAAATTAGGGCTTGAGAGGAGAGAGAAAGAGAGAGAGGTTGAAGAAATTGGGAAATTTTGAAAGAATAAGCCCTAGAGAGAGAAAGTGAGAGGTAGAGAGAGAAAATAATGGAGATTACACAAATTACAAATGGCGGGGAAAATGTAAAAAATAAAATTAAGTGGGTTAATTTTTGAGGGTTTACAGTAAAATTGAGTCCACTAAATCACTAATCACTAATTAGTAAATTAACCGTAGTTTGAATGTTTGATTTGAAGAAGAGGTCAGCTAGTTTAAGAAAAAGGTCTGACTTAACTTGCCTTGTTGCCCATGCGAACCTTGTATGGTACGATTGGAGATGTGACTTTATTTGGGAAGTTATATCTCTACGTATAAAGGATAGTTTAAGTGGTTAGAGCTTTGTTTTCAATTTTACAAGATCTTCATATAGGGGTGTTTGGCAGTTGGTTGTTTGCCTATCTTTTGGCTTTTGGCTTTTAAATTTGGTCAAATAGTCAAAAAAATATGTTTGGTAGTTAGCTTTTTTGTTTGCTTTTAAGCTGGCTTCTCTGCCAAAAGCTAATAGAAGTAGCTTTTTCTATTGACTTTTGGCTTGTTGGCCCATTTTATCACTAATAAACAGCTCACAACCATTAATAATTTTACCAATTACTTTTGTAAACAACCGGCTTAAACAACAAACTGAAAAAGTCAATCCATACAGTTAATACTTTTAGCTAGTCAAACAAGCCAAGCAAACAAGCCAACAGCCGCCAACCGTCAATTGTCAAACAACCCCAGAATTAGAGGTACTCCTTATTGGGTATTCCCCTCCCGTGTTACCCCGTCCATGTCGAATGAACCTTGTCAAGGCTTTTTTTTTTAACCGGTACTTTCTCTATTGAAATTGTAATTTGGCTAGTGTTTGAAATTAGGTCTTAAGGCTAACAAAAGTTTATTAGATAGAAATAATAAATGAGAATTTGTTTGGTTGGAAAATTTAGTTGATCATTAAAACCCAAAAAAATGGCAACTATTACATAGTAGTAAGGCCCTGTTCTTTTGAGCTTCTAAACACAGCAGAGTAGAGGTCAGCAGAGCAGAGCAGATTTCAGCATTATTATTATTATTATCATTATTATTATTATTATTATTATTATTATTATTATTATTAACAAGTGCATACCATTGTTTCAGGTGAATGAAAACATAAATAGATGTGTACCATCTTTAACATATGTTAATACTAGAAAGATAAAAGACAATAATTTAACATCTTCAAATTATTACAACCACATATCAAAATAGGAACATAATTAGATAAGAGTTTAACATTATGGTGAATTAACCATCTACTTCCATATGAACTACATTGTCATCATCTTTAGATATTAGAAATTGTTATTATTTGTTAGAAATTATTATTTATTAGAGCTACATTGTGGTGAATTAATAAAAAAAAATTATGATCGTTCGTTAGATATTAGAAATTGTTATTATTTATTATTAATTAATATTATTATTAAATATTAATAATTTTTATTGTGAATTATTAATTATTATTATTATTATGATTATTAAATATTATTATTATTATTAATTATTAATTATTATTATTAAATATTAATTATTATTATTATTAAATATTAATTATTAATTATTATTATTGTTATTATTAATTATTATTTTACTGATATTATTAATTATTATTTTTAATTTAGAGCAGAGCAAAGCAGAGCAGAGCAGATTTCAGCAGACTAGGGCTCAGCAGAGCAGAGCAGCTCTAATGAACAGGGCCTTACTTTGGTTTAATGATGGACTAAAATCTCCCCTAATTATTCTTTATTCTCCTAGTTCATCATATATGTTAAAACTCAAGACTACTTATGTGTCACGTAATCTTGTCTCTCCGAAAATATCCGACGATAGTATTCAAACAATTTCCTCGAATTGGATCAAAATTAAAAAAAAAAAAAAAAAAAGGACCAAAGAAATGTCACCAAACCTCTATGGGGGCATTTGGCTCATAAAGTGGTATGGATTTAGAATCAAGATTGGAATTAGGGTGGTATGGGGTTGGAACTTGATTCTTAATATCTTGTATTTGGTTGTTGACCTACCTTCAAAGTTCAAACCCAGTCCAATGGCCAAATTCTTGTGCAAACCTTTCACACAAAGCTCAAAGCTACCCATGGCGAACTAAATCGACTCAAAACCCTATGCACCATGCTTGTATTCATGATGGTACACGTGAAACATCAACATGCAATTAAATCAACATGTCAACAAGAAAACATGTATCGTTGGGAAACTAGCTTACCACATTGGTGCCAACAATGGTTTCTTGCAGCCCATTGTTTCCCTAGGTTTGCATCTTTTCGCTTGTGTATATGACCCTTCTTTTACCAGAGTTCAACACCAAAATTACGATTTATGACTGTTAAACAGTAAAACTGCGGCATTATTAGCATAAAACCTCCTCAAAACTCCCTATCGAGTATCCGAGGCGATTAACATGTTATACATCAATCCCTAAATGTTCAAGGTCAATTTGAGATTTAAACCTATATACATATATGACAATAAAGGATAAATTATGTGGGCACTTTTATTTAAATAATTTTGTTTAGGGTAAAAAATACCCCAAAACGTGGTCCAATCCCAGAGTGACACGTGGTCCAATTAACGGACGACACATGTTCCTATAGGAAGATGACACATGTCAAACATAAAGAGCACCTGAAGTGAGAGAAAAGGGTCTCCTTACATCAGGAGGCCCAAATCCCGAGTAAAGCCGCAAAACGGTGCCCCCTATCTTTTGGACACGTGTCTTCCCTGATTGCGCTGCCAATCAGAGCAACTATTCTAGGTCATTAAATCTAGAGGGGCACACTTTCCCACCCCTATAAATACCCCAATCATTTATGATGGGAGGGAGGGATTAAGACATATCATCTAAGAGCACTAAAAGCTCCAACTTCTCTCTACTTTCTCTCTCTACATTTATTCCGTTCGGTTACTAACTTGATCGTTGGAGGCGAATATTCCGTCAAGCGGAATATTCGTTATTTTGCAGGTGTCCGCGTCCATCCGGCCGAGTTCAAGGCCAGTATCCCCAGGGATTCCAAAAAGCCCTGAAACAAATTCTATTTTAAAAACAAAATATTCTTCCTTTTTAATTCTATTCAACTATTATTTCTATCGATTATACTATTGATGATTCTCAATGTACAGATTCAATTTAATTATGTTTTTATGTATAGTATAATTGTACAAAATATATAATTAATGTGTATGAATGTATTATGTTTATGTGAATATTGCTTTGTCCCCATGTATTATGATGTTAATTAAGATCGAAAAATAAAGCAATTTTTTTAAAATGAGATAATTACGGACCACGAGTTTAGGTATTCTTTTTTTAATCAACTAGCTTTTGGGCCTGTTCTACGCACAGTTGGGCTGTGTATAAGTTATTATTTATTGTACAAAAATCTTTTACGAAAGTAACTTTTACAATCTTGTAACATGAGTGGGAGGAGATGGTCGAAAATGGGAGGTAAAGGGGGAGGGGGAGTGGTGGCTGGAAAGGGAGAAGAGATGGAGAGGGGGTGGTTGGCAGTGGGGTGAGGGGAAAATGTTTTTTTTTTTTAAAAAAAAAAAATTGTATTTTTTTAATTTGAAAAATAATTAAAGGTTTTTAATTAAAAAAAGAATAATTCAAAGAAAATTAAAAAAAATGACCAGTTGTATAGGTCACTGGTCATTTGGGTTTATTTTGGGAGAAAAATGTTAAACTTGTGTTTAATATGGGCAGATTTAAAAGTTAGTCCTGTTAGGATTTCAGTGAATTCAATAAAGAAAATCACTTAAAACAATGTGTGGGAACAAATCCTAATATATATGATTACAATATAATTGTAAATATCAAATACAAAACAATGTATTAAAATCAAGTATTAGAATTGTCAATGAAATTACTGAAAATTTACAAAGACTACACTAGTGTGAAGAATCAAACTTGCCTTTCCTCCAAGCCGACAACACCAAGCATGTACATGAGAATATCGATGACCACGTAAGTCTCAAACCTTGATACACTGTCAAAGGCGTGTATACACTTTCCTAAAGAGGTTTATTTCCTCCACACGGCGCTTGGGTTAAACCGGAAATCCTCTTTGAGATACAATTGACAGCCAATTTCGTTCTTAGCACTAGAAAATGAAATACAATGAACAATTCACAAAGATGGCTAAGTTTCAAGAATTTTTCTCACAAAAGTTTGTAAGAAATTTGAGAGAAAATGTGGAGAAAAGTTGGGAAGAAATCTGTAATATGAAAAACTCTATATCCTTTCGTTAAAACGAAAGATATTAAAAGCCGAGAAAATAATCGCAAAAACCGCAGACAAAGGAAGCAACGCGGGCGCGACTCAAAGAGGCGCGGCGCGCCACAAGGCTATGCGGGCGCGCCTACCCAATTATGCCTGAATTTTGCAACTTTCCAGAGAGTTGGCGCGATTTTGACGCGGTTTTGTCGCGGGCCGCGCCAACCTTGTGCGAGCGCTCCACTCTGACTCTCTAAATCATCCGAAATAATCAAATGATCACAATTATCTCATACACTCTAAATCATCTAACAATCCTCCCCCATTTAGAGTGTATACCTTTTAAAACATTCTCCACTTCTATTCACTTAGCCACATCTCATGCATCAATGTTAATATTCCTTCGGATTGAATTAACACCTAGTACAACACACTTAACGATGATCAATCCTATGATTTTCATATGGATTGAATCACACGGATATATCCAACCATTCGAAGGTGAAGTACACATTAAAACAGCCATGTGTCCGTATCTTTCATAAGTTCATCAAAGTCTATATGTCCATCTAGACTTCTTGAAGCGGCTAAACTTCGAACTTATATAGGTAGGTTCTCATATACGTAATAGTGCCCTTGTGATAAGACACCTTCATTTAGAGCTTCTCAACTCTTAATCTTTGAGAACTTTAAATTAACCCTACCTTGCACATCACAAGTACCATAGCAATATGGGTCATCAAACATTGCTAACAAACAACAAACATGCAATTCAACCACATTGAATCTAAGACTTGATGTTTCTTCAAGCGTTAGATTGGGTTTCACAAATTCGTGTTTTTGGACATAAACCCATTCTTTCATAGCAAATATGATGAAATCCCTTGGCATTGCCTTTGTAAAGCAATCTGCCAAATTCAACTTTGTTAGAACATAGTCAAGACTTATGACCCCATCATTGATAAGCTCTTTCACTAGGCTATGCCTTAATGAAATATGCGAGACTTACCATTGTACACTTGACTATAAGCCTTTATCAACGCCGAATTCGAATCACAATGGATTGCCACCAGTGACATTGGCTTTGGTAATAAAGGCAATTCTATCATGAGATTCCTCAACCACTCAGCTTCCTTACTAGCTAAAGCAAGAGCTATAAACTCCGCTGCCACAGTGGAATCCGCAATGCAAGTTTGTTTCTTGGAAGACCATGAAATGGCACCTCCTCCAAACATAAACACCCAACCACTTACAGAAGAGTCATCCTCTTTGTAAGTGATCTAACTTGCATCAGAATATCCTTCTAAAACCGAAGGAAATCCACTATAAGATAAACCATAATCCAATGTACCCTTAAGGTACCTCAAGACCCTCCAAACTGCAAACCAATGCTGTACACCCCCTAGTAAATCTACTAAGTTTCCCCACAGCTAATGTAATATCTGGTCTTGTACTAGTCATGGCATACATCAAGGATCCAATTATCCTTGAATATTCCAATTGGGAAACTGTTTTCCCCGAATTCTTAACCAATTTAACATTAGGTTCCATGGGGGTGTTCACAGGACACTTATCAAACATATTAAACCGTTTGATCATCTTCTCAATGTAATGAGATTGACTTAGAATAAGTCTTCCATTGTCCCTAATGATCTTGATGCCCAAAAGGACATCCGCCTCCCCCAAATCCTTCATCTGAAAAGATGAGGATAAGAATTCCTTGGTCAATTCTACTTGTTGTAGACTTGTACCAAAGATAAGTATATCATCAACATATAGACAAATGATGACATCATGACCTTTATCATCAAATTTGCTATATATACACTTATCTGCTTGATTCACTTTGAATCTAAGGACAAAATCATGTCATCAAATTTCCGATGCCATTGTTTTGGTTCTTGTTTTAGTCCATAGAATGACTTACCAATTTACACACCTTATCTTCCTGTCCTTCCAAAACAAACCCTTCGGGTTGGTTCATATACACTTCTTCCTCTAGATCTCCATAGTAAAATTTTCAATAATTTCATTGACAATTCTAACACTTGATTGTAATACATTGTTTTGTATTTGATATTTACAATTATATTCTAATCATATATATTAGGATTTGTTCTCACACACTGTTTTAAGTGATTTTCTTGATTGAAATCGCTGTAAATCCTAACAATCTAAAGAGGTTTATTCTTAGAATTTATCAAGTATGTCTAGTGTGAAGGAATTAACAACAAACTTTGTCAAACTCAAGAAGTTTGATGGTGTTGAATTTAGAAGGTGGAAGAAGAAAATGTACATCTCTAATGTTGCCTATGTGATAAGTACTCCAAGGCCGGGTGAACATGAGAATGAAACCTTGGAGAACGCTCGGGAAAGATCAAAGTGGGACAACGACGATTTCATATGTCGTGGTCACATTTTGAATGGGATAGAGGATGATCTTTTTGATGTCTACCAAAATGTAGAATCGGCTAAGGAGCTTTGGGAGTCCTTGGAGAGCAAGCTCATGGCAGAAGACGCTTCAAGTAAGAAATTTTTAGCTAGCAATTTCAATAACTTTAAATTTGTTGATGGTCGGTCCATAATGGACCAATTTCATGAATTGCAACGTATCTATGGTAGCTTGAAACAACGTATGAATGAATTGTTTGTTGTTTCTAGCATTTTATTATGGACAGTAGGGGTGATATCGTCTTTTTCAGTGGGAACGAATTATCCGTCAAGTAACATTTGACCGTCTGTAAAAGTTAGTTGCCTTAGAGTAAAGGTGATAAACGATGGCCCAACCTGGTAGCCAAATTGGTTGGCCTCAGAAAAGTGACAGGTAGGGCACTCTTCAAATGTTTTTAGTTCAAAATTCAAGCTCAGCCCGAAAAAGCCCGACAATATTTTGTGGGTTTGGGCACAAGATTTTGTACTAAGTCCAGTGCAAAGGTGTTCCCCCTAGTCGGAAAGTCTAAAACTCAGGTGGGCAATAGTATTTTATCTACACTATTATAAGGATCAAAATTATCTGGTTTCCTTTATCAAAACTACGTTCATTAAATAGATCATTAAATATCCAACGTTTTTAGAGAGACGGTCTCACAATTTGTTGTAGATGTAACCTGTGACAATGATTTTCATTTGAACGTATTTGAAAATTTGACAACCATTGTGATCCTGCACAAATCTTTACCAACGAATAAGTTATAGGGAAACAAATGATTAATCTTTGATAAGCTCTAGCTAACACGCATATGATTCCTTATGGGGAATGAACAACTAAATCAAGAACTAACGACTCCATCATAGGATACAGGCGAACATCTACACTGCCTGTGTAGATTTATTGAAACTAAAATTGTAAACTTAAAGAAAAACAAAGAAAAGGGTCGAAAATAATCTAGTTACCGAAGAAAATAGACTATTTCTAGACTAAACGACCAAAAGATATTAAAACCCTATAGAGAGGAGAGGGAAGAGACTGAGAGAGAGTAGCTCTACACTTATTTCATTGAGCATATCTGTGGAATTGTAGCTGAAAATGTGCTTTGAAAATCATAAAAGCCAAACTGTAATAAACAAAAAGAAACAGGGGTGTGGAAAGACTTGGATTATTTCTTTCATCTCATCACAATCACGAATTTTAATGTAATGTTTTTTTAGTAAATCACATAAACTCATTGTATATGAATAAAATATTTATTATTTTTTTAAAAATAATTACCACGTATTTATGGTTTTTTTAATCCATCACTAAATTATACACATGAGCTTTATACCCGTGTTAGGAGTAAAGTATAAAATAGGTCCCTAACATTTGACAAAAGTTTAGTTTTAGTCTCTAACGTTACAAAAGTTTGGTTTTGGTCCCTCTACCACCACTTTGGATGGTTACTTTGCTGGCTAGACCAAACATTAAGGGACTTTGGGTGATTACTGGACCAAACTTTAGGCACTTTGGCTGCTGACTGGACTAAACTTTAGGGACTTTCATTTTTTTATTCAATTGCTACTAAATATGTTAATTAACCATATAAATATGTTAATTAACACTATCTATTTTTCTTTTCAATTGCTACTAAAATTTACAAAATTGGATTTTACCACCACTTAATTGATTCCGTTCAAGAATCTGTTAAGTGGGGTCCAGAATGACACGTGTCGTTATCTCAATGGTAAAAAAAAATTAAATTCTTTTTTTAAAAAAAAGAAATCAAAAAAGAAAAAAGAAAAACCCTAAATCTAACCCTAGCCACCCCAACCTCACCACCGGCGCCGCCTTCTCCACCATTACCCAGCACAGTCGTCAATCACCACTGCCACCCCACTTTACATCGCACCCATCCCCCAGCCTGACCGGATTCCACCCCTTCCCTTTTCGGCATCCCTAATTCGCACCCCCCCTATCACCGCATGTAAACGTCCCTCTTTCCCTAATAAATGGCCATGAAATCGGCCAGTTTTGGGGCTGAGTGGCGTAAACAGGTCGATTTCGTCCATTAGTGGCCGACTTCGTGGCCATTTGTGGGCGGTTTATGGCTGGGCGAAAAGGAGGGGGCGAATGACGATGGTCTGGAGGTGGAGCAGGTTCATGCAGGGGCGAATTTCGATAGTCTAGAGGTGGAGCAAGTTCAGGCGGTGGTCTGGATGCGAAGCAGGTTCAAGCTGCGCTGAGTGACGGCGGAGAAGGAGGCGCCGGTGGTGGGGCTGGGGTGGCTAGGGTTAGTTTTAGGTTTTTTTTTAATTTTCTTTTTTCAACCATTAAGATGACGACATGTGTCATTCGGGACCCCACTTAACGGATTCTTGGACGGAATCAATTAAGTGGTGGTAATATCCAAAATTTTAAATTTTGTTGTTGTTAAAATAAACTCTTTTTTGTTTGTAATGTTAAAATCCATTTTCGAGTTATTCTGTGGTGTTAAAATTCCAAATTTCCTAAAATTAATGTCGGTAATTAAATAAATTCAAGATTGGAATGAGTAATAAAATAATAGTATTAGATTAATTAAGGGTACATATGGTTAATTAACATAATTAGTAAAAAAAAAAAAAATCGCAAAGTCCCTAAAGTTTGATCCTGTATTCACCCAAAGTCCCTAATGTTTGGTCTACTCAGCAAGAAATTCCAAAAAAAAAAAAAAAAAAAAAAATCAAGGTCTCAAATGTTTGGTACAATCAGCATCTAAGGTCCCCAATATTTGATCCATTCAGCAAAGTAACCACCCAAAGTGGTGGTAAAGGGACCAAAACCAAACTTTTGTAACGTTAGGGACTAAAACCAAACTTTTGCCAAACGTTAGGGACTCATTTTATACTTTACTCCCGGTGCTACTGGGCTAGTGCATGAAATATATCTATGTTTAGAAACATAAAACTACACCTTTTTTTTTTTTTTTTTTTTTTTTTTTTTTTGGCATTTTATGTGAGGAAAGTGATTCAATTTCAAATGAAAGTGTTCATTTTTTTTTTTTTTTAATGTACATCAATAATTGTAGGAATAGAACACCACCATCTATAAGTGCTTGCCTGCTTTCCGTGCTTGGGAATAAGGGATTCTCTTACATTCTCCTTTTACTCTCATGATTTATGCACCATTGTAACAGGCTAAGGGTATTGGTTCAGTTATCCCCCCACCCCACCCCAGGCCCCCATCTGTGGCTGTGTATGCTCTTTTCCAACAGTCGAACAAGAAAAAGGGAACAATCAAACATCTGTGGTTGTGCATACTCTTTTCCAACAGTCGAAACTCGAAAGTATGATTCAAACACAAATCTAGCCAGTTAGCAGCACAATAGAGTCTATACAGCCAAATCATGCAAGCTACAAAAATTAAACAAGGGGGGAGAAAAACAAGTGTTTCTGCCCATCTGAAAAGTTAAGCAACAAATCCAACTACGAAGTGTCTCAGAATAAATTTCAGCTAGTGCCAAATAATACAACTATTCAACCTCAGCGTCGGGTGTCTCAACTTCAGCTTGCTCTTTCTCGGCCTCAGCCACCTCCTTCTCGCTCTTACGTCCCTTCTTGGATTTGTAGTATACACTCGTGAAGGTTCCAATTGCTCCATATTTCCTCCTTGCCTTCTCATAAAGTGAGGCATCAAACATCCTCCAGAAGTCCTTCTCATTTAGCTCAGAGACAGTGTATTGTGGCTGGAATCCATGGTTTTCAATCAACCACTTCTCCAACTTACGGACAGCCTCGGCACCATCGAACACCTCACCACGCAGAATAGGTCCTGGTGCATAGTAGACACCAACATCAGTGAACATCTGAGCATATGAAGTGTCACCCTGTCTCTTGTGCTGCTCGAAGCCTGGTTCAGGATATATCATGGTTTTGACGGGCAGCCTAAACAGACGATGTGGGCAGAGCCAAAGAGGGTAAACCTACAGAGAAGCAGCATTAAATTTCCAGTTAGCAGATGATTATAAAGAAGTGTTGAAAATCCCCAGGATAAACAAAGGAATAAAAATAATAGCAATGGAAAAGGGCAAAGTGACTTTACCTCCATTTCACGATGGACCCATTCAAGAGCATCTCCAACCTTGTATAGTGGAACAAGCATGTCCTGAATCACATGGTTCTCATGGTAATAGTTTCTGATGGCTTCACCTTGAGTAGCTTTAAGAAGGGAAACCTTTGGTGGCATCAACCATCCAAGAAGGAATCTGAACCACGCTTGATCACCTAATGGAATGATAAGCTTTCCTTCCCAGTTGGGACGAGGCTCGAGCTAAATCAAGCAGTCTAAAAAAAGAATGATTTATTTGGGCGATCGGGCAATGAGAAGATGAAAACTAAGCTCATAGCGCACACTTGAACTTTTCCACTACTGGTCCCAGAAGGTACAGAGATCTTGTATGTCGGTGATAATATTCCCTGGTAGGAATGTACTCCACAAACTCCCCTCGTTCAAGGGTTGTCTGAGCATGCTGATAGAACCAGGGTTTAAACCACCATCCACAGCTATTGATCACATTTCCCTTCTTCTTGGCCTCTTCTTTGGAAGCATATCTACCTGTCATCATCACACCTTCAGAAGGATTGTAAATCATGCCTTCCACAAAATCAGGGACCTTTTCGGGATTGTCTTGATCTCCATCTTTTGGTGCAAAAGAATCAATATAACCCTGGGCAAGATCTTTCAAACTACCTTTCACAGGAGTGTATGTCAGCCTCATGTACTCCTTTATTGGAATAAGCTTAATTTCAGCAGAAACAAGCAATCCTAGAGTACCCTGAGACCATGGAATAGCGTAAAAAAGCTCGGAAAACTCATTGTCCTTGGCTCTGACAACCCGTCCATCAGCCAGAACTACCTCATAAGCCACAACTGTGTCAGCAAATAGGCCATAAATATGGGAGCTTTTTGCGATCCCACAGCCATTAATAAGGCCACCAACAGTTAGATCATCCAACTCAGCAACTACTGCCAGAGAAACATTCAATGGTACAGTTGCTCTTGAAATCTGCCCCATATTGACCGGAGGCTCAACTTTGGCTATCATATTAATAAAATACGCATTCTTTTCAGGTGAATATGTTTCAGCGCACACTTGCAGGCATTAAGGAATTGATGATCATCAGTTGTTCATTTCAGGAGCGTATGCTTCTGTGCACACTTGCAGGCCTTAGGGAGAGCGTTTGTTTCAGCGCACACTTACAGGCATTATGGAATTGACGATTTCAGTTGATAACACAAAACCATATACCCAGGCTAATTATGGAAAGCTCAGTAAGATTACTGTTGTAAGTTTGTAAATTTTCAAGTTGAAAAAGAAAAACCAAAATTATTCATTTTGTGGCAGATAAACAAGCATATATTCACAGATAAAACCAATTTGACAATTTCTCATTTCTTGGAACAAAAAGGCCCTGTTTTCAGGTGGTACAAAAAGAGCATACACTCATAACTTAAGTTGTATTCCCTCAGATAAGTTCTATAGCTAATGAAGTAATCATGTTTGCTGCATTTTCTTCCTTAATTCCCCAAGAGGCCCATAACCCACACCATTTGTCTCCTGTTTGCTACAACTGCAGACACCGGTATTCAAATTCGTACCACAATTTAGACACATGCCTTTGCATTTGGGATCACATACTGCATTAATGGTGATCTCTAGATGTACCATGTCTCGGATGTGCTTGGAAATGTCAATTTCTTTTCTCTCTGGGGGAAAATGAAGCCTATCCTCCAGATCAATTAATGCGTCATCATCATCTTCTTCCTCATTAACAGTTCCAGCAGAACTCTTCAACTTATCTTCACCAAACATAAATCCCATGTTATGACCTCCGGCTCCTCCACAGGTTCCTCAGTTAACAATAGAGAGAAGTTGGAAAATACACTTTCAGCAGCTGGTCCACCACACCTTAAAAAAAATCATTTGAGAAATAAGATTTGGTTACCTAGAATTGGCTGAAAGTGTACAATATGAATACATGATAACCTTCTGATATAATTGTGAGAGTAGATGTGCATAAGCTCCATGCTCAAGTATACATTTGCCATCGGAACCAAGCAATCAATTGTGACTGAGTGTGATTATATTCCGTTTACTATGAATTTGAAAGACAAGTACACTCTACAGCCAACCTATCCTTAAAAACAAATAAAGCTGCCACTTTATCAGGCTCTTGCATACCGAAAGTCCCACCCCACCCCCCACGCAGTCACCAGAAAGATATATAGCCTACTCTCAGACATTTAAACAATTCAGCTCATTCATGGTAAGCAGTTGCAACACTTGAAACTCCAATGCAGAATACAGCTTTTATACACACTATGAACCTCACCCCAGGAAGAGATAGGCCATGTACTGGACCTCAAAATCTAAGAATGCAGCTACTTACCGAGTTACTGCTGCAGTACAAGTTTTCAATCTTACAGATCAATGCAAGGACCTTTTTTTACTTTAAATTTATTTAGCCATGTTTATTGTAGTCAGATTTTAACAGGTGGGAATAACATGAGACAGTACTCACAGCAGTTTGCTAGACTAGAGCTGCAAAAATAAATTGTAAAAAAAGATAGATGAATCAAGTACCTGTTGCAAGCAAGGGAGAGAACTGTTCTTATGATGCCATCAAGCCTTAATTTATGCTTTTTTCGGGTAACATCAACAGAAATAAGTACAGGTGTTCCATCCGTAAAATCCTTTACAGCTTTAGTCACTCGTAATCCCATTGATGATGCAGTAGACCTTGACAATTCCGATGAAATTTTGCCTAAACCAAGTCTTTCTAAAGTAGTGCAGCATTCCATGTGAGATATTGAAGGGTTTCGCCTATAGACAATGGCCCCTTCCCATGGAGATCCATCATCTTCCTCATCACCCCAATCAAACTCAATTGCATTTTCATCATCATCTAATGATGATACCTCGCCATCATCAATTTTCGTAGCCTTTGTAGCTAGGACAACGTATTTGTAAGGCTTTCCAAAGCAAGTACTATTATAAATAACACTTGACATTTTACAACTACATTGAATAAATCCAGACTCAGGGCGCTGAAGAAAAGTGGATTTATTTAACTGCAATCCAATTTTTGCAAGACCACTAGTAACAGGTTTTACACTGGACATAGAGTATACAAGGGACATTGCACCCGATCTTTGTAATAAATCACAGCACATATAGAGTGAAAAATTCTCTATACAGGCAGTATATGGCCAACGGATCCGTTTGGCTTAATGGTGTAGGCAGGCGCTAATTCTGGGAGGGCTAATCTACTTAATGAGACACCTCATACAAAAATTAGACAGTATCTTCGCAGATGCTTGAACTACAAATAATTTGGAACTAATCTGATCTGATCATTCAACTCCTAATTGGATAAGTGAAGCAATAATCGAACACGCAACATCAATGGCGAGCATAAATCTACAAGAGTAAAGAATTTTTTTGTAAAATTCATGACATACTCAGGCCTGTCCCTGAGGCAAGGCAGGAGGGGCAGCCGCCCTAGGCCCAGGGAAAAGAGATTTGATTTCATATTGAATTATCTCGAAAAATACATAATTTTAGGGATACTTAATTCAATAATCAAATTACGCTCATAATTTTCTTTTCTTTTGGATATAGTGTTTCATAATCTAAGAATTTGCGAACCCTAAGCTTAAAGCACTGATAATTAAATTAGATTAGATCAAATATAAACCCTAGATTGTGAAATTGATGTGATGATAACAACAACAAACAACTTACCTTAGAAGCTGCTTCAATGGGGGATACAAGAATTAGATTCAACGGAGAACGCTTCAATGGAGAACGTTGAGTGCGCTTCAATGAAATAACTCAGAGAGGTAGGAAATAGGAATGGAGGCCTTTAAAAGCCATGACCCGCCATAGTTATAATATGGGTTAGATCCGTCTGATATGATCGTCTAATTGTGAGATAGGTGGGCTTTATAAAGGTTTTATGTAAACATGTTTTAAATATTTTTAAATATTTTCATACACCAAAGCTTGTATCAATTCTTTGTAAGTTTTTAAATTTCTTTTTTTTAAAACAGATGAAATTTCATTAATTAAACTAATTTTACAACAAACAAAAGGACAGTAAGTGACATAAGTTACTATTGGCATAAGAAGCCCTTACACAATATCAATTAAGGTCATTAACGATATTTACCTTTTAGCTATTACAACGAGTGAATACAACGTATATAAGTCTTACGAATATATATTTAAACATGCGATGAGACTATTGATAGAATGAGGGAAGTTGGTGATGATGTTTCATGTTGTGCAAGGTATTTTCTAACATACAATTAAAAGTCTATGTATGTTGGTGAAATGACGGAGACAACCCAAAATCAGTATGTCTTACCCTAAGGGACCCCAATAATTCAAATGGATAAAATCCTCTTGAAATCTATGCTTCATACATGTCAATCATATTTTTTTGTGATCTGACAAAACCATATCTTATACTCCCTCCGTCCCATAATATAGTTTTTATTGTATTTTTTTCATGGTATCTAAAAAATGGGAGGAGAAGTGGAAAAGAACTAGACAAAAGTACAAAGCAAGTGGATAATTTAAGGAAAAAAAAGTAAAAAGTTCAATTATAGACAAAAGTTAAAAAGAAAGTGAAAAAAGTACAATGCAAGTGATAAGTTAAGGGTAAATTAGGAAGTTTAATGAATAAAGTAAAAAATAAGGGTATAATGGTCTTTACATATTATTCAAAAATAGAAACAGGAACAACATTTTGAGTCTCTAAAATAGGGAAACAAAAACTATATTATAGACAGAGGGAGTATATATTCTCATACAAGGTCATGATGTTGTAATGACTTTTACTGATATCACATACAAATGGGTTTAACAACACCTACAACGGGTTTATATAAATCTGAAATTGAAATTTTGCTACATCTCCCAACAAACATAAGTAACACCACTTTCATTAAAGGAATACGCTTTTATTAAAACTAAAGAGATTAAAAAGGGCAATTCCAAGAGTATGTTAAAGTTGCAACCAATCATTAACTATTTGAATTTACTAAGTATAATACGCATAATATTGCTTAATTCATACGGAGTACTACCTAATTGCATCATTGTTCATGACATCCATTCAACTTTTCTTTCTTTGAGCTTTAATTTCTCCTTTCAATCACCATCTTCATTGTAGGATAGATTTTGCACAACATTTGTAGAGATACTTTTATGTCGATTATATAAAGGGAATCCAGATAATGTCATAAATGCTTAATATGAAATTTATACTAGGAAAGGAAATATGGGTAGATGATAAAGGGTTAATGAATATTAAATAACACGTTCAATTAACTTGAATTTGAAAGACCCTTCAAAAAAAAAAAAAATATGAATTTGAAAGATGGGAGAAGAGGAAAAGATTAAGAAATTCAATATGTTGAATTATATAGGAGGTTACAAAATTTTTAGAGCTATTGTTATGTAAATGGAGGAAGATGGAAAACTTCTACAATAACTTATCAATGACATATAAAGAAGGTCAATAAAAGAAAAAGATTATAAAGAGATGTAAAAGAAAAGAACACGTAGCAAAATATTCTATGCATCTCTGCTCTCCTAATCTCTCATATATTCTCTCTTTATTTTATAACACGTTATCAACACCAATGTTTAAATTTTTTTTTTTTTTAATGATGGTGCTATTTTGCTAATGCATTTTTTTTTTTGACAATAGCTTTGCTAATGCATTGGAGGAAGTAAAAATATCATAAAAGAGATCCAGAAAAAAGAAATTTTAATGCATGTTATTACTTCATCTTAGCACGGTTGCATAATGTCTTTTTTTAAGATAATTTTATCAAACATGTTTCTTAGAGATGGTGAAGTTGTAAAGGTAAAAAGGGGTAGATAGCAAGAAATACATCTTTTGTGTACTAATTATGGAGTAATTGGCAACCGTTTGTTCTTCAAACTCATATTGAGAAACACTTTGTGTGCAAGTTAAATCAATGATGTAAGAAAACAAAAAAAAAAATTATGAACAAAAGAATTATGACATCTTCAAGGATAGGCAACACTGAGAATTGCTTCGAAAATGTAATGTTTAAGATTGGTTCCAGTCATGCTGCATGGATATAATCATTCAAGTCATTCCAAGAAGCACAACACTTAATTTTCTTTTGCTGGGGATATTGAAACCTTGGATCTTTTGGAATCGTTGGTTGCTTTGTTGACCTGAAAATCCCAAGATCATCAACTGTAATGAGATGCTAATCTTTCAAAGTAAAAAGATACTAACAAACTCAATCTGTATTCAATGTAAATATTACCCCGTACCTCCTGGGGACGAAAGGCCTGTCAAAGTAAGGCATGGGCTGAGCTTTCGGGACTAGTTCCTTTCTTAATCTTCTTATTTCTTCCTCCTCTTCTAACTGTTAGAGCAAAAGAGAAGTTTCTGACTTAATTTATTGTGATTATAATGATACTGATTATGTTCAGTTTATTAGTTATTTTGTAATGTACCTTCTGTTGCCTTTCTCTATCCAGTTTGTATTGCTCTATCATCGTCAATTTTTCAGAAATCTGGTAATTGAATCACAATTACATTAGCAACATATGTGATGCAAACTATGATCACCAAAAAAGTACTAAAAAGAAATGAATTCAATAATCACTAACTAAACATACCTGGTGGTCAAACTCTGCCCGTTCCACAGCCCTTACATCGCTGTGCAGCTTCAGGTCGATTGGCCTTGTTATGTCTTTAATTGGTGGCTTTATCAGACACTACATATGAACGTACACGTCAAGTTAGCATTTGCTGAATTATACAAGTATTATCTATTAGACAGAGCAATTATAGAAGATTTTCTAATTGAGGATAAACAGTGTTTAATAGGACTCACTTCTGGTTCATCAGTTGTCCATGGAAGGCCTTGTGCAATAGGTATCCGCTGTTTCTCCTCTTCAATCATCATTTCTTGTACTTTTTTGACAAACTCCTCCTCCTTCATTTTTCCTCTTTGCTGAAATTATGGGTGGAGGAAGCAGATGAAATATTTACAACACACACGTAAAGACGGGAAAGAAAAAGCATTGGTAAAGGGAAGGGAAGGGAAGTAGAAATGACTAACCTACATAGAACTAATAATAAAATAAAAGTTTTGCAGTACTCAAGCAACTTGTTAAAATGAAAAATTACTTAATCATCTGCATTAATATACACTTATAACAGACACATATCCTATATTCCCATGTATATACAAAGGATAATTAAGAGATGAGACTTGCAGGTTGCAGCTAGATACATCTCTTCTGAGATTGGCAAACAAAAGAGAGGTGGAAAGTAAAAAAAAAAACAGAACAGAAAAACAAATGTGTGTTCTTGTAATCAGGCCTTTTGCACACTTTATTGCTTATACAGAATTAGAGTTTACTACTTGTCATCTAGAAAGTACAGCCACCAGTTATAACATATCAGTCTAACTTCTCATATGGAACAAAGAGTAAAAAAGGACACAAAAACAATATTGTAATGATAGAACGTGCTAATCACTTGCTTTAAATGGATGAATATTGACTTCTACAATGTTCGGAGAAGACATTAAGTGGCATGTAATATCAATATAAGCACTATATCTTTCCAGTCGAAACCAAAGCCCAAAGTCACCATGAATGTCCCTCAACAATCACAAGAATTTGTCGGGAAAAAAACAAATAACAAAAACTAAAAATTCATCCTTACAGCTTTATCATTCTCTGAATCAGGCCTATCACCATCATAAGCTTATATCTCAAGTATACAAATAAATTTCCAGCAGAACATCTGTTATTGTATAGAAAAGCTATCTATCTATTCTAAGTACCAAATCTTCCAATGCTGCTATGGCTAATGGCTTACACTAACAGAATTATAACAAAGAGAGTTCAACTCTAGAAATCCGGCTTAGAATTCACCACTAGGAATTTGCCCCATGTATAATAGAGTGACATTCATTCATAAAATTACTTGTTCTATAACTCATCATCAGAAGGCAATATTAATAATAGCTTTGTGTCCCTCTTCAAATAATGAAAAATTGGTACACGGAGAATAAATATAACAGCTTATAGCAGAACTTGACGATGCTTTGACTTATTGTATCCTACTACCAGGCACGTTGTAAAAAGAATCCACTTTTAGAAATTCTGCATTGAAAAGTGTCAAATATACTCCATTAATAATGGAGACACATCCTTTGATAAAACATAATTGTTTGCATAATTGAAAGTAACCTTTCCCCTCGAAATCCCATATCAATAAATGACACAAAAATATAAACTAAGGATCACCAGATTCAATCCAGAAATGAGCAGACTTCCCATGTTTATCAGTTCTTGTAACATAAATAACCTGATGAATTTGTTCCCTACCCCAGGCCGCAATCACAGAAGATTAATCTTTTTGACACTAATACACGAGTATAACTGCCTACAGGAAGGAATTCCTTATCCTAATAAAAGTTCATGACAAAATCATTCTTCATCCTAATACACATTAGTAATTCAATAACAAAAAAAAAAAAAAGACACAGTGATTATACCTCAGTCCTCAGCCTAAATGGTCTCTGGGATGTGACTCTATGCTGTTGCTTCTTCTTCCACTTGCTTCCACCAACAGTCCCTGAAGAAAATGAGCCCTGAAATACATAATATTTCAAAATATAAGCCTCAATATACAACAACATACACCCTAAAACATACAAATATAACATAAAGCCCAAAACACTACGCTTACACTTCTTCTTCTTCGACTTCCAATCGAACTTCTGCTCGAAACACTACAGTTAAGACCGAATTAAGACACATCCAAACCCGAAATCAACTACTCAAACACACACACACAATTGAATAAAATGTACCTTCCCCTGCTACTATCCAATGAAGAAGTAACATGAGCATCCATCCCCAAGCTTTCAGCATTGAAGAACAATTCTCCGGGACAAAAAGCAGACGACGATTCCTGTGTTTCGGGTGCTCTAGGAGGCTGCTGCAATCCAGGCAACGCCCATTTAATCCCTTTCTTTGTATCATCCTCCTCATCCTCCACCTCATTTTCACCATCTTTGTTACCCTCCGATTTCTTAGGCAATGTCAAAAGCTTCTCAAATGCCTTCACCAGATGCAAAACCCTCCCTGAACCCGGCTCTGGAACACTCGCCCTTGCCTCCTGCAACAATATATCCCGCCTTCGTTTCGTAGTCGAACTACCCAGCCCTTTCGGAGAAACAGCCGCCTCCGGTTCGCAATCACCCACATCATCTAAACCCCCAAATTCTAATTTCTCACTACTGGGTTTATCAAAATCTTCATACTCTTCAACCCCACCATCATTTTCATCCCTACTCTTAAAAAACTCTTCCTGAGAAACCCTCAAATTCTCATAAGCAACACACAAACACTTCCCATCAACCCTATCTTTACACTTACAATTACGATTCAATTCATGCTTCTTCACATTATTCTTCTTCGCAACCACAAATTTCCTCTCCCTGATCTTCTTCTTTGGTGATACAAAAGAAGAAATCGGGTTTTTACTCCCAGATTTCTGGGATTTCGCAGATTTAATCGAAGGAGATGATTTCAAATTAGGATTAGAATTCTCTTGATTCTTTATTTTCTCAGCGGCATTTGATCGAACACTTTGTGGGTCTTTTGTTGGAGTCGCCATTTTTGCTTCCTTCAACTGAAATCACTCGAGAAAGTAAGAGAGAGAAAAATGGAGAATTTGGAAGCGTTGATTGTGAGAAAGTGAAGAAGAGGGAAAATAAGATGAACGTTGGACACGGAGCTCCGTAACGGCTAGTTTTTTTGGAGCCTGTTGTAGGAGGGAGCGATTAAGATGGGGGGCAAATATGAATTATTAAAAAAATTGAAGTTTTGTTGATTAGTTTCCGTAATAGCTTGGTGGAGTTTCCGCTAGCCGTTAAATGTGGAATATTAGTATATCAAAATTGTTAATCACGCCCAATTTATAAGGAAACTAATCAACAAACAGAAAAAACATAAATAAACATTACTAAAATTTCACAATTTGTTTTACAAATGAAAAAAATTAATATAAATTCTCATGCTACTATGCTAGGTTGTGTAATTAAAAATTTGACAATTAGCGGATATTTTGTAATTGTAAGTTTAACCAATTCAAATTGGTTGATTATATTTTTTATTTTTTGGTTCATATGAGCCACTCAGGGCGGGATGAGAATCGATCCCAAGATCACCTGTAACCGGGAGGAAAGCTCTTACCAACTGAGCTATCCCTCACTCTCAAATTGGTTGGTTATATTAAGTGTTTTGATTATCTTATGTAGAAATATAGTCAAGAACCTCTTTTCAAATTACATATTTTGTGGAAAATCACATTTTAAAATAGTAAAACATATATGTGACATCATCTTTGGTTGGATTCTAACGGTTAATTCCGTTTTCAGGCTTTCACTCATCATGGGCTAGTCACAAAACTACTTTTATTTTTACGGGCACAAGACTACTTTAATCATACTTTTTTTTCATTTTTTATTTTTTATTTTTTTTTTTTTTTTTGGGGGGGGGGGGGGGGGTCATAAATCTCATTTTTTAAATTAAGTTTTAGTCATAACCCATCTTTAAATTTATATTTTATGTAAGAAAACACCTTAATCATAAATTTATATTTTATGTAAGAAAACATCTTAATCATAATTTTTTACCAAAAATTATGTATAGCTAAATCTCATACATAAAACCATGTCCATGTGAGGCTAGAAGTCCTTAGAATAACATCAATAACATGTGCCATAACTCCTAAGAAAAATTGAGAATTTCGAAAGGTAATGCAAAATCAATTTTTTTTCCCACCACTTTATGAAAATATAAGAATGTTGTCCGTGTGTTTGCATTGCATAATTTAGTGAAATATATACATAATATTATGACAAGAATCATGGCACTAAACTAGGAGGCTGTTACAAGATTTATGCCATGAATCAAAGAGAATATTAGATAACCGGCTAAGATTAAGGAGAAAGAATTCTCTAGAGTAAACTAATTACTAAAAATGTAAAATACAAATATAAAAATACATATTGTCTAACACATCCCCGCAATCGAAACGGGAGGTCCACGAACGTTGAGACTGTGCTGAAAATCATCAAAAAGAATGCGGGGAAGACCCTTTGTAAAAATATCAGCTATTTGATATCGTGAAGGAACATGAAGTACCCGAACCTTTACACGACTTACTTTTTCACGAACAAAATGAATGTCCATTTCAATGTGCTTGGTGCGCTGATGTTGGACGGGATTACCAGAAAGATATATAGCACTGACATTATCACAATAGACTAAAGTTGCTTTGGTAATGGGACAGAGCAACGTAAGTAATAAACTTCGAATCCAGCAGGATTCGGAGATAACATTTGCAACACCTCTATACTCAGCTTCTGCACTGGATTTAGACAATGTGGGTTGGCGTTTGGATGACCAAGAAACTAAATTGTCTCTAAGAAAAACACAGTAATTAGAAGTGCAGCGACGGGTATCCAGACATCCCCCCAATCGGCATCCGTGTATGATAAGAGAGACTTGATAGGTGATTTATATAAATGAATACCAAAATCAAGCGTACCTTGTACATACCTGAGAATACGCTTTAGAGCATCCATATGTTTGACTTTCGGGTCATGCATGAATAAACAAACATGTGGACAGCATACGAGATGTCGTGTCTAGTGACTGTCAAGTACTGGAGAGCACCGGCCAGCTGGCGATATTTTGTAGGATCATCATCATAAGCAATCCCGGAGTCGGACCCGAGTTTACCTTTTGTGTCAACAGGAGTAGCACAAGGCTTGCAACGGGACATGCCAGCCCGTTCTAGTATTTCTTCGGCATATTTCTTCTGAGATAAGAAAAGGCTGTTGTTGTTCCTGGAAACTGCAATACCTAAAAAATAGCTTAAAGGACCCAAATCCTTCATACCAAATTCAAAGTTGAGTTTGGACATAATGGAACACCGAAAAGTATCTGAAGAGGCAGTGAGTATAATATCATCCACATACAATAAGATGTAATCAATGTCAGAACCATGACTGTAGATGAAAAGAGAATTATCACACTTACTATGAATAAACCCAATAGATGAGACAAAGTCAGCAAAACGTTGATACCAAGCTAAGGTGCTTGCTTTAAGCCATAAAGAGATTTTATGAGCAAACAAACATGATTAGGTCGGGAAGGATCCCTTAACCCGAAGGGTTGGTACATGTAGACAGTCTCATTCAAATTACCATGCAAGAAAGCATTCTTAACATCTAACTGATGAATCTGCCAAGATTTAGATAATGCAATACTAAGGACCACCCTGATAGTTGCCGACTTGACAACCGGACTAAAAGTTTCATCACAATCAATACCATCCTACTGAGATTTTCCATCACCTACAAGACGGGCTTTATGCCTCTCAAAAGAACCATCAGATTTCTTTTTATAAAATCCACAAAGAACGAATAAAATTTACATTAGGAGGACGTGGGACTAAATCCCAAGTCTTATTTTCAATAAGAGCATTATATTCATCTTGCATAGCATTTTTCCAATTTGCATCATCTAGTGCACACTTCGGGTTTTTGGGAAGGGGGGAGATAGTAGGAGGGAGGGCACTAAATGCATGGCATTTGGGGTTTGGCTTAAAGATTCCATGTTGACTATGTGTGGTCATACGGGTAGGTTGTGATGGAGAAATTTGCGTAGGCAAGATGGGTGGAGATGATTGTAAATGAGGAGATATATAGAGTCCATTAGAAGAGGATGAAGTAGGAAGGGATTTTCGTGAAGAAGATGCAGAAGGAAGAGTTGTATCAGCCCTATCCGGCGGACGTGGCAGAGGTGTGGATGTGCTCATAGGTGGTGGAGAAGGATATTGGGTATGTGTATGTTACTGATCCGAATCAGTAGGCATAGAGGATGAGGACGAAGGAGATGCAACATTATGTAAATAATGAAAATGCAAGGGTGATATTTCATCGCCTTGAAAATCATAAGAAGAGGGAGAAGGAGTATGTATTTTAGAGAAAGAAAAAGTGGACTCATCAAACCAAACATGTCTAGCCACAATTATTTACCAGAAGAAGGATCATAACATTTATATCCTCGATGTTTAGATGGATAACCAAGGAAGACACATGGGATTGATCGTGATTGTAGCTTATGAATGTTTGTTGAAGGAAAAAGTGGAAAAAAAGACAACCGAAAACTCTAAGATGAGAATAATTAGGAGTCTTTTGGTAGAAAATCTGAGTGGGAGACTTGTATCCTAATATTTTTGAAGGCAAGATGTTTAAGAGATAGGTGGCCATCTCTAAAGCATGATGCCAAAAAGATGGTGGCATGGAAGCATGAGCTAAAATGGTACGCATAATGTTGTTAATGGAGTTAATTTTACGCTCTGCCTTTCCGTTTTATGGAGATATGTTTGGGCAATAATATTGGAAAGACATGCCATGTTGTTCACAAAATTTATGGAATGGGCCATTATCAAATTCACGACCGTTATCACATTGAAAAGATTTAATATCACGTTCGAACTGAGTTTTGACATATGTACGAAGAGAAAGAAAGAAAGAGTAGACCTGAGATTTTCGTGAAATGGGAAAAGTCCATAAGAAGTTGCTATAGTTATCAAGAAATAGCACATAATATCGATGACCTGCATGACTCACAATAGGCGAAGTTCATAAGTCACTGTGAACAATATCAAAAGGTAAAAACAGTAGTAGTAAGAGAATCATAAAAAGACAATTTTTCCAGTTTTCCCAAGGGACGGGAATGGTAAACAGTTTTTCGAGCATTATTATTACAGTCAATCAAATTATTACTACGTAAAAAAGAGAAAATGGCATCTCCCGGGTGACCTAGATGAGAGTGCCAAGTGCTAGGAGAGATAGCTGTAAAAGCAGTAGGTAAAGAAGAAGATTTGCCCCCGAAAATTCTTGAGTGGATAGAGATTGCCCGAGCTTTCACACCTCATTATTTAACTCCCCATTTGCAAATCCTTCACAAAAAATCCAAAAGGGTCAAATTCAATAGAAACGGAATTATCGGTAGTAAATTTTCTAACAAAACAAGGTTTTTAATAATATTGGGAGTATGGAAAACTTTGTTAAGGGATAATGATGGTGAAGTATGGGGAAGGGAAGTGTGACCATATCCACAAATTGGAGTCATACTGCCGTTACCAACAATAATTGAATTAATTTTATGATTGCTTAAATGAAAATAAGACGAGAGATTACCTTGCGAATGAGTCATATGTGATGTAGCCTCGGTGTCCATATAGAAATTGTCATCCGGTGGTTGCAAAGTGAGAGTGTGCATTGCTTGATCAATGTCGGTTGGTGTTGAGACCGATTTAGGAAAAGAAGCAATATATTATGCTTGTTGAGGTCGAGCACCGAGGATTCCTTGTTGTGGATGCTGCTGCCTATGAGTAGGTGGGCGAAACTGCCACCCGGAAGTCGGATATGGGTAGGGAAGGATGGCCCAAGGCTGTCCATAAGGCTGAGGTCCCCAAGAAGCCCACGGTGGAAAAAACCAAGGTGTTGTTGATGAACCAGAAGGCTGACCGTAAGGCTGTGATGATTGGTTGCTAGAATTTTCGGTCTCACCATGCTGCTTCTAATCGGTATTGCTGCCAGCATTGTTACGGTTGTTACTGTTATAGTTGCCGTTGTTTTGTGGGTTACGACTATTATTTTTCCCTCCTTTGTTGCGGTTTGAACGGTTATTTGCATCTCCATCATTATTAAAACCAACATGGTCAGCCACAAGCACTGTTTCTGACCGTGAATGAGAGCCACCATTGTTGCTTTGCTCTTCAAGCTCTAACATCGAGCGTAGCGTGTCAAATAAAGGAAGAGGATGAATATGTTGCACAGAAGATCGAAATGGTTTGTATTCCTAGAGAGCCCCTTGAGGAGTTGAAGTTCCATGCGGTTGTCCGATACCGTGTCTCCTACATTACGAACACTATCTGCCAGAAATTTGAGGCGAGTGCAATATAGATTAACACCAGTGAAATCCTTTAATTTGGTGTTTGTAAATTGCGCATCCAATTGAAGTGATCTGGCAGATTTATTGTTTTGGAAAAAAATCATCAAGCGGCTCCACGCATCAACCGCTTTATCATCCGGGTTGATAATGGTGTTAAGGAGATCGTTGGATATCGTACTATATATCCATTGTCGGACAATATCATCCAGCCACTTCCATAAAGCTGGGTCAGTGGTGGCTGTAAAGGAAGAAGACGGTGTTGAAGGATCATCGAGAATAATGTGATCAAGAACAAGATAGGCTTGGCAGTGCAACTTGAATAATGTCGACCAATTATTATATTGTGTTCCATCATAGTCCAAGGTAACCGGAACACAAGTTTTGATATTGGTGACAGTGGTGGCCGGATGAAGCTTAGTAATGTCAGCCATGGAGAAATAGGAAGAAGAAATAAGAAGAAGGATGCGGAAGAAAGGATCGAGAAATCCTGATACCATGTAAGAATGTTGTTTGTGTGTTTGCATTGCATAATTCAGTGAAATATATACATAATATTATGACAAGAATCATGGCACTGAACTAGGAGTTTGTTACAAGATTTAAGCCATGAATTAAGGAGAATATTAGATATCCGGCTAAGATTAAGGAGAAAAAATTCTCTAGAGTAAACTAATTACTAAAAATGTAAAATACAAATATAAAAATATATATTGTCTAACAAAAACTACCCTCTTCAAATAAAAATCTAAGGCATTTAGAATGAAGTAAACTAGGTGCGTGTAGAATGCACCATGCAAAGCAATTGTGCGACTAGTGCTTGGGTTTGCAGAGTCTCCTTAGTGGAGTCCCCAAACTATAAGATCAATTGGAAAAGTCGCAATCTCAACTCCTCGACTACCTACGAGGGGTGTGGGGCTTTGGAGAGAACATTGTTCATACGTTTTTCTCGAGCGTGCATGGCATCGCATGTCATGCTTGCATGTATTTGAACAACCATACCTTACTTAAATAGCTAGCCAACCGAGGGGTATAAAACTGCCCTAAAAAAAAGTCATACTTCGATTCTTAATCTTGCGTGGCTCACACTTGAAAGGTGCAACCTTAATTTCCGAGAGTCTCCAAAAAGTATTTTATTTTAAGGTAACTTAGGAATCTAATTAAATATGACTTGAATTGATCTGTCTTCATTCGAACCAATGCGCGAATTTTAGCTGCTCAATTATTTCAATTCTCTTAAAAACCCTTATTTCAAAGTATCTTGATTGCAAACATCATATTTAGACAACCTAGTATATCTTCTAGGTGGATGAGCATGTTATAGTTTAAAATCATATAAGGACTACATATTTGACCTTTGTCAACTACTCAAGATAACGAACCTGTTCTGTTCACCTTATTTTCACTTATTTCAGGTCTAATAAGTTCAGATAAGTTCATATTAGTTCAGTTTAAAAAAATAAGTTCTGATAAGGGTTTCCAAGCTCAAATTACAACTAAAATAAGTTTAGATAAGATTAGATAAGTAAAAATCAAGTGAATAGAACACACCCAACATGATCCCTATACTATCAAACTAGTTTATAAATCATGATCATCAAGTAGGTTATAGTTAGCATGCATGTGTGATCAAGTAAGCAAGCATCCATATCATTCAAACAAGAGAGGAGTAGAGACCAGGGGTGGACCCACTAATGGTCATGGTGGGTCACGTGACCCACTATTTTTTGTTAAAAAAAATTATAGCACAACACAGTTAATATTCTATAGTCCAGACCTTCGGTAAATTAAAACTCAGTTAATCTCTTCTTCGGTCCCTACCATATATACTCACAAAGTCCCAAAACCATTTTAATTACCAAACTCTCTCCCTCTTCAATTAGTTAATACCCCTTTTTAGTTCTCTGTTCTTTAACCAATTCACCTAGCAATAGGTTGTCTTGGCTGACTTTTTGGGTATTCATGATTTCCCTATTTTAAAATTAAATAGTCAATCTAATTGCTTTTTGTTGCTTAATGATAAATTATATGTTGTTGTAAACTATGCTTTTAGTTTTTTTTTTTTTTTTTGAAACCCGATTAAAAGAATTAAAGGTGTTGTTTTGAGTTAATGATTTATTGATTTTTGTGAAGCAGAGTGTGTGTCGACTGATTTTTTTTTTTTAACAGAAGAACAAAAGAGACATTGAAATTGAGTTGAAGATTTTATTAATTATGAATTTCTCAATTATTAATTACAATTGCTACGAAAAAATTTGATTGGCATTGAAATTGTTTATCAATTGATGTTAATAGTTAATTTTTTTTTCCTTTTAATGGGAATTAATATGTGTTATTAATTTAATTGATTGAATGATTCAAATTTCTATAATTTGTCAAAAGGTTTTTTTTTTTTTTTTAATTTTTTTTTAAAAAAAGAAACCGTCAAAAGTATATTGTTTTATCTAACTCAAATTACGACTTAAATTTCATGAAAAAGAACGTATATGTGATATATTTCAAATTTGTTTTCAAATAATAGCATGGTTGGATATCATGATAGATGGATATCAAAATTTGAAAGTTGTGAGCCTTAAGTCTGTAATTGTAACACCCTATAAATTCCTTTCCTTTAAAATACCTATTTTGCCCTTTTAAATTACGAAATAGGAATATCTAAGTTATTACCGTCACCGTGAAAACGACTAAGGCAAATATCAAAGACACACAGCGGAAGACTTTCTTTAAAACCATTCAAAACAAGTAAACTCAAAAGTCAAATCAAACGAAAGTAAAGTCAAACCAAAGTCAAACCTACAATCTGGAACCATCGTAGGCCCTTAAAACCAAACAATACTGAAAACCTTTACGTTAGTCTCATGAGCATAACAAAATAAATAATATTCAAAGAAAATCAAACACGTCATATTCCTATGAAAACTAAGCATGATTCTCTCTTCACTCATGCCCATCATGAATATGCTTCGTCACCTGAAAAGCTTCTCTCTACTTGTCCCCACTACTCGCCATTAGAAATGGATCGTCGTAGGGCCAAGGTAAAGACAAGCCAAACAAACATACAACACATAATCAGCAATGCTGAGTGCATAAGCGTAATGAAAACACACTAACATGCTTTCATACTATCATCACACAACTTACCTTGTTGCACCTGTTTACAAGCATACAACATACCAAACGACCAACCAATAAATAAATGAATTGCTTATTTAATTTGATTACGCATCGAATGGGTTTCCTACCAAATCCCTGCCCCAAATAAATTGAGGTAAACTACACCGGAAGCTAACCGGGTAGGAAAATGTCACGTGAAGTGACTGGACGTCCTGCGCATAAAATAAATAAAAAGGGCGTCCCGTACTCCCAGTAGATGTCATGGTTAAATATAAAACCCCATAACTCCCCCCATATGTTCATACTCAAGGTATATATATACGTTCCAAGAGTTTTGGTGCGTAATCTCTTTCACTTTACGTTGTTTACATATTTTTAGACTTGGTGATGACTCTCAAACCATAACACAGTCAAACATTATATTTCATTCAAGCAATCAAACACACCAATTTAATTCTTAAATAATTAGTGACCACATAAATTTAAATGTTGAACCCTTTTTAATCTACCTCGGTGTTAAAGACACCTTAAACGCATAATGCACCGCAAATCCTATCCCTCGGTGTTAGAGATTACTATGCAAATAAGCACCGCAATATAATTTATTCCTGTGTAGTAAGACACTTAAATAGCTCCTTCCTCATGCTTATAGCATCAATAAAAATTATATGAACCATAATAAAATTTCCTTTTAATATTCCAAACTAAATTAAACATTTAGTGTAATTAAACATGCTCTCTATCATGCCAACAATAAAAGTGTGGTTCATAATCAACATGCCAACATAATTAGTTCTAATCACCAATTCATCACAAATAATTCATACATCACAAATCATCTACGTACCAACATCAATCCAATCAACAAATTCCAACCAACACCTATCATGATACTACTTGGAATTAATTAAACAAAGTCTAGCATGCTTCTACATATTCAAATAGTTACCAAGTACGCGAACGTACCTTGAATTTGATCTCAAAATCTATCGCCACGACTAAATAAATCACTCACTTGGAAGTCTCCTACAAACCAAAATTACAAAGAGGCATTAATACCTATTCCACACAAATTTCTAGCAATATATACCCTATTTAAATCACTCATAAACCCTCTAAAACAAGCTGAAATTTAATTTAAAACCCTTACTTTTATTCCCAATTAATGGGTAATTAAAAATCATTTCAAGAAACATAATTATAGCTTATATATAAAAATTCCAGCTTTATTAAATCATCTATAATTGTTGTAATTGTGTTTTAAAACACTTATTTCAATAATTTAAATCACCCATAAACAATTTCCATCAATATACATAAACTTAGAAACCTAGGATTTATAATTTGGGGCTTTTTAATTCAAAACCAAATCTGAAAATTTATATGCAAAAATACTTATCATCAAACATCATAAAATCATCACAAAACCCAAAAACAATAATTAGAGGGTAGATTTAATTTAAAAATCAAAAAGAATAATTTTTTTTTGTTCAACCACCGGCGCACAACCACCAAGGCCGACTGCTGCAGCGCGTGCCTAGTGGCTGCTATCGCTAGCGAGTACTAGTGGTGGTGGCCGCCAGTCGGTGGGCTGCCGTGGTGGAGGCCAGCGGTGGTGGTGTGTGTGTGGGTGGTGATTGAAGCAAAAATAAAATAAAGGGGAAGGGGAAAAATTAAGGGGGAGAGAGAAAATAAGAGGAGAGTGAAAGAGAGTTACCTTTCGGTATTTTCACCTTGGGCAAAGTTTAATTTGCCCATGTGATGGGTATTTATACTCTCTTTCCTAAAACCCTCCTAGACTTAAATTCCCTTTTTACCCTTAATGATCCCTTTCTTAGTCAAACTAGTATTTTGATTTTCTTTAAAAAATATTGACTTTAAATTTCCTTTTATAAAATAATGTTCCCCAATATTTCCAAATCATGAAATAAAATATTTCAAGATTGTTAAATAATTAAAAATAAACTTTTAATTAAAATAATTCTTTTTAAATTAATGAAAAACCATTAATAATTCATTTCAAATTATTTAAATACTTTAAGAAATACTTAATTAAATTAAAATACGTATAAAAATACGGGGTATTAAAGTCTACCCCCCTTAAAAGAAGTTTCGTCCCGAAACTTGGGTAACAAAATTCAAACTTTTTCCTCACTTTGTATAATATTGATGTACTCTTTTGTCATACTTTTGCCTTTAATGTCTTTTTGAATTCAAAATTACTCGAAATAACCGTTGAAAATGTACATAAAGCACAAAAATAACTGAAAATATAGGAAAAAAGCGCGAAATTCTACCGCATTCTACCCGTCTTATAGAAAACGAGTTACGTCCCCGTAACTCACCATACCTTAAACAACTCAGGATATTTCTTTTTCATCTCATCCTCAGCTTCCCAAGTTGCTTCTTCATACTCCTGGTTAGACTAGAGCACTTTAACAATTTTAACTTCCTTATTGCGTGTACTACGCACTTTACTGTCAAGAATCTTGAAAGATCTTTCCTCATAAGTTAAGCTTTGATCTAACTCAATGGTCTCGGGTTGTAGCACATGTGACTTATCAGGGATATACCTTCTTAACTGAGATACATGAAATACATCATACACTTTACTTAGCTCCATAGGTAAGGTCAACCTATAAGCCACTTTACCTATCCTTTGCAATACTTCATATGGACCAATATACTTTGGGCTAAGCTTTTATTTCCTTAAAAATCTCATTACACCTTTCATTGGTGATACCTTTAACAAAACTTTGTCACCAACCTCAAATTCCTCCTCTTTACGCTTCAAGTCCGCGTAGCTCTTTTGGCGATCTTGCACCGCTTGAATCTCCCTTACCTTCTTAATTGTATCCTTAATCATTTGAAGCCCTAAAATCATTGTTTCACTTATGTCGTTCCAACAGATCGGACTACGACACTTCCTTCCATATAATGCCTCAAATGGATCCATGCCAATGCTTGCATGGTAGCTATTACTATGGGAAAATTCAATTAAGTCTAAGCTATCTTCCCATCCCCCTTGGAAATCTATAACACAAACCCTCAACATGTCTTCTAAGGTTTGAATGGTTCTCTAAGTTTGCCCATCTGCGGCAAGGTGAAATGCTGTACTCATCTTAAGTGTTATACCAAAGTTTTCCTGCACACTCTTAGCTTCCAGAACCTTGAAAGAAACCTAGAATCTCTGTTAGACACAATATCCTTTGGAACTCCATGTAATCTCACCACATTTTTGATGTAAGCTTTTGCAAGTTTCTCCATCTTCCAGGTTTCATCCATTGGTATAAACACTGCAGATTTTGTAAGTCTATCCACCACTACCCAAATGATGTCGTTTCTACTCTTTGACTTTGGGCGGCAAGTCACAAAGTCCATTGAAATACAATCCCATTTTCATCTAAGAATTTCCAATGATTGCACAGTTCCTTGCGGTCTTTTGTGTTCTATCTTCACTTTCTGACAAGTTAGATACTTTGCCACAAATTCCGCAATCTCATTCTTCAGTCTGGGCCACCAATACATCTTTTTCAGGTCTTTATATAGCTTATCCCCTCCTGGGTGTACTGAATATGGTGTGTTGTGGCCTTCTTCCACCAACTTTTTCTTTACTTCTTCACATTTTTGTGGTACACACCAACGACCCTTGTACCTTAAACTCCCATCTTCGTGAATTTTGAAATCCGTAGCTTTTCCTTGCTTTATTTTCTCATGAATCCTATCCAACTTTACATCTCTTTCTTGATTTTCCCTTATCTCATCAAATATTGTTGGTTGAATACTTAGGTTCGCAAGTATGCCTGCTGGCACTCCCCATTCTACCACTTCTAGATTCATTTTCCTCATTTCTCTACATAACTCATTAGCCACTATCAAAGTATTCAGTCCATGACTAGTTTTACGACTTAGAGCATCTGCGAATACATTTGCTTTCCCCTCATCATATTGTATGTCCAAGTCATAATCCGTCATATATTCTAACCATCTCCTTTAGCGTGAGTTTAAATCCCTTTGAGTGAAAATGTATTTCAAACTCTTATGGTCTGTGTAAATCCTACATTTCACTCCATACAAGTAGTGTCTCCAAATCTTTAGCGCAAAAATGATTGCAGGTAGTTCTAAGTCATGAGTAGGGTAATTTAATTCATGAGTCTTTAATTATCTTGATGCATACGCAATCACCTTCCCATTTTGCATAAGTACACATCCTAGACCATTCTTGGATGCGTCACTATATACATCATAAATTCCACTATCGTCTGGCAGTGTAAGCACTGGCGCTGTGATTAGCTTCTGTTTCAAGAGTTGGAATGCTTCCTCACACTTGTTATCCCACTCAAACTTCTTGTCCTTCTTCATTAGAGAGGTCATTGGTTTAGCAATCTTCGAGAATTTTTCACAAAACGTCTATAATACCCCGCTAAACCAAGGAACTCCTAACGTCAGACACTGTTTTTGGCATAGCCCAACCTTTCACTGCCTCAATCTTTGCTGGATCTACTTCTACTCCATACTTGGACACAAAATGACCTAAAAATGCTACTTTCTCCAACCAAAACTCACACTTAGAGAAATTTGCTTAAAGCTTGTTTTCCCTTACTGTTTGCAGAATTGCCCTTAAATGTTCTACATGTTCTTCTTTACTCTTCGAATACACTAGTATATCATCTATGAACACTACCACAAACTTGTCCATAAATGGATGAAACACCATATTCATCAAGTCCATAAAGATTGCAGGAGCATTCGTCAATCCAAAAGGCATTACTATGAACTCCTAATGTCCATATCTTGTTCTAAATGCAGTCTTGGGAATATATTCATCTGCAATCCTAAGTTGATGGTAACCAGACCTTAAATCAACCTTAGAAAACATAATTGCGCCTCTCAACTGGTCAAATAGGTCATCAATCCTTGGTAATAGGTACTTGTTCTTTATGGTGACCTTATTTAACTCCCTATAGTCAATACATAACCTCCTACTTTCATCTTTCTTCTTCACAAATAACACAAGCGCTCCCCAAGGTGATGCACTTGGTCTTATGTATCCCTTTTATAATAAATCCTGCAATTGCTCCTTTAACTCATTCATCTCTGCAGGTGCCATTCGATATGGTGCCATGAAAATTGATGTTGTTCCTAGAATTAGCTCTATTGTGAAATCAATTGTCCTTTTGGGTGGCATTCAAGGAATCTCTTCTGGAAACACATCCAGAAACTCATTTACAACTTCTATATCTTCAGGCTTAGTTGTCTCTTCATGTTCCATATTCCTTACACTACAAAAATGCACCGGATGCCCCTTCTTAATATACTTTGCCAATTTTAACACAGATATGATCCTTGGGCACTTGGTTTCACTATGCATCCAATATGTCACCAACTCATTATTAGTTGTAGTCATTTTTACTTTCTATGATCGACAGCTAATAATCTCTGCGCTGAACTTGCTCAACCAATCTATTCCCAAAATGACATCAAAGTTACTCAACCCAAACTCAATGAGATCTGACAAAAACACTTTTCCTTCGATTTCTAAAGGTACATTTTTAAAGGTCTTGTTACACTTTACTACCCCACCCGTAGGAATAACTATAGGCAAATCTACCTCATCTATGGTTTTTAAACAGTTTGATAATTTTGAAACAATGGGCTTTGAAATGAAAGAAAAAGTTGCACCAAAATCAAACAAGACTTTAACAGGAATTGAGTTAATAGAAAAGGTATCAGTGATGAAATCTTTCGTGGAATCAGCCTCATGTCTACTCATCAGATTCAGTTTCCCTGGAGCTCCACTCTTCACCTGATTTCCCACATTATTATTGTTGTTGCCTTTCGCTCCATTCTTCTGTGCCCCCTTATTTCCTGAATAGTTGTTGCTTCCCTGAAAGTTTCTCTGAACCCCTCCTTGATTAATGCCCTGTTTGTTTCGATTGGGATCCTTGGAGAAACATTCATACTCCCTGTGTCCTAACTTGTTTCAAGCACGACAGGTAACCAAATTTCCATCACAATCTTTTCCAGGGTGATTGTTCTTACACCTCTTGCACTAGAAATGCCTTGCTCCCCTGTTATTTCCCTGGATAAAGTTCTTAGCCCCACCATTAAAGTTCCGTACTCTGTGGCGATTATTGTCTTGGAAATTATTGTTGTTGTGGAAGTTGTTATTATGGTGGTACTTTTGCTTTTTGAAGTTGTTTTGGTTACCTTGCGGGTTTCCAGAGTTCTGTCCCACCTCTTTTCTCTTCTCTTTCCTTCCACTTTAGCTATCTCTTTCCTTTTCTTTAATTCTAAGGCATATAGGTGTGCAACTCTCCCATACACTTCATCTAAGGTTTCAAATAGTTTCCCACATAGCTTTAACTGCAAATCAGTAGTCAGTCCACTCTCAAACTTCCTAGCCTTAGACTTTTCTATAGATACATACTCTTTAGAAAATCGTGACAGCTCAATAAACTTGGTGTAGTATTCAGTGACCAACATATTCCCCATTACAAGGTTAGAAATTTCCTTAGCTTTTTGTTTCTGTAAGAAGCTAGGGTAAAACTTGTCCCTAACCTTCTCCTGAAACATAGTCCAGTTGAATCCAGGTAGTGCCTTAATGGTAGCTTCATTTTTCTGCCACTAAATTAAAGGTCAGCTTCACCCCTGAGTTAATAGGTAGCATAACCTACTTTTGAGTTCTTAGGACACCCTACTGGCCCAAACAATTTCTCAAACTCCCTCAACCAGTTTTCCAGTATAGTTGGATCAGGCTCTCCTTGATAGGTTGGTGGCTTACTCTGCGCCACCTTCTTAAATAGCTCTCCCTGAGCATCTACATTATTGGTTGAGTTCCTTGCTAATTGTTGGGCAACAGCTGCCAACTGCCTCACAACTTCACTTAGCTCTCCTCCATCATTGTTGTTACCACTCCCTCCTACCATCTTTCTTCGCCTGAATTAAAACAAAGGGGTATTTAATAATTACGGTCTTGGCTAGCTCTCAAGTTAAACACCCATCTAACTAGTTAATACCCTTGAAGCATACACATTAAATTTTCAGCTAACAAATTGGGATTACAAAAGTTAAAATTCCCAAAATTTGCAGCTTTGTCAACCAAATATTGATTGCTAACCAACCACACATTTAATAAAGCATCACATTAATAAATAAAAATAATTCTCATGGATTCCTAGAGTTTAGAAATGCATTATTGGAATATTTGTGAGTAAGAAATGGCTTCTTGGAATACTGATACGAATGAATGATTTGGGAACGAAATGAATGATTTGTCAATAAAATGAATTAATTGACAAGGAAATAAATGAAAATTTATTGCTGAGTAAGAAAAGGAATGGAATACTGAAATAAAATGATTTTAAATAACTTATGCTACTACATAAGTTTACTGACTCACTGTGGACATGCCACTTATTGCTTTACTGGAACTGAAATAATTAAAATGCGGAAACGAATCTAAGAATCCTAAAAGAAATGAAACTACAAAAATCTAGTCCTTTCGAACATTATCCTTCTTGTAGGTAGATTGTTTGTAGCTTCCAAGATCGAATAGGGTCATCTTCTTTCTCCATTGGTTCAGGTGACTCTGGTTCTTGCTCTACTTGGACAAACTCTTCATCTTCCTCATCGTCAGATGAAATATCAATTATAATTGGAGTTAGAGGTGGATTTGGAATCTCCATAATGGATCTATCAACAATATGGTTACTCTCATCCATCATCTCTCCTTCTTTCTGCCCTCCATCTGACCCTGCTTAATACCCTGAGTAGGAGAAGAACTTCCTGACTGGTGACTAGTGGAAGGGGAATTATTCCTTACCGGATTATTATAGTAGTAGTTGGGATATGGAATGTGGAAGTGCTGACAATGATCTTTCTCAACTCTAACGAGGTTAGAAATCAGGTATCTGTAATCAGGGTACCACTATCCATAGAAATTTTTATATTTAGAGTAGTTTGGGATGTCCCTTGGTAAATAAAAATCAGAGAACTTTGATTTAATAGCAAGATATGGGAGTTCATGTGGAAGACAATGAATAATCATAGCAGAAACACGATCAGGAAGATCATAGTGCATGTCTCCTAAGACATCGCTCATTTGGGAACAATAAAATTGGATTTTCTTAACATAGTCAAATGGATGTTCATTGTTTTTCTTAAATAGAGTACCAATTTGGGAAACTTTGCTAAGAAGAATCGGCATCCTGTAAAGGAAAAGGCTTAGAAAATAATTCCCTTCCGAAAGAAAATAAAAACAATACAGTTCTTGCATGAATTAGGTTCAATATTCAATCAAACAATTTCACTATTTCTAATCATATAATCACATGCTTTCAATTAATCAATCCACATAATCAAACATCACAACCTAAAATATTAATGTATACAAGAACATGATTATTTCTAACTTATATGCCCAAATTCTTTCCTACCCAAGATCACCAACATGCTTTTAAAAACTATTAACACATAATACTTACTTCAATCCTTACTTTCCTGCAAAATGAAGAAACTAAAAAATATTTTTGACTCCTCTTTTAATATTAATTTTCGAAAATAAGCCCCAAAAATGCCCAAATTTTCGGCCAAATTAAAAAAAAAAATCCGGACACCCAAAATAATTTATTTTTTTTTTCGGATTTTAAAAAAAAATTTGGACCTTTTTAAAAAAAATAATAAATTAATTTTCCAATTTCAAAAAATTAAAATAAGTGAAAATAACCCTTTTTAAAATAACTTAATTAAATAAGAACTTGGCCAAGTTTAAAACAAAATACTTTAAAACACATTTTTGGCTTTAGTGGGAATAAAGATCTCAACCAAAGCATCCAAATACCAATTGTAACACCCTATAAATTTCATTCCTTTAAAATACCTGTTTTACCCTTTTAAATTATGAAATAGGAATATCTAAGATATTACCGTCACCGTGAAAACGACTAAGGCAAATATCAAAGACACACAGCGGAAGACTTTCTTTAAAACCATTCAAAATAAGTCAACTCAAAAGTCAAATCAAACGAAAGTAAAGTCAAACCAAAGTCAAACCTACAATCTGGAACCATCGTAGGCCCTTAAAACCAAACAATACTAAAAACCTTTACGTTAGTCTCATGAGCATCACAAAATAAATAATATTCAAAAAAAATATAACACGTCATATTCCTATAAAAACTAAGCATGATTCGCTCTTCACTCATGCCCATCATGAATATGCTTCGTCACCTGAAAAGCTTCTCTTTACTTGTCCCCACTACTCGCCATTCTACTCGCCATTAGAAATGGGTCGTCGTAGGCCCAAGGTAAAGACAAGGCTAAACAAACATACAACACACAATCAGCAATGCTGAGTGCATAAGCGTAATGAAAACACACTAACATGCTTTCATCCTATCATCACCCAACTTACCTTGTTGCACCTATTTACAAGCATACAACATACCAAACGACCAACCAATAAATAAATGAATTACTTATTTAATTGGATTACGCATCGAATGGGTTTCCCAACAAATCCCTGCCCCAAATAATTTGAGTTAAACTACACCGGAAGCTAACCGGGTAGGCAAATGTCACGTGAAGTGACTGGACGTCCTGCGCATAAAATAAATAAAAAGGCGTCATGTACTCCCAGTAGAAGTCATGGTTAAATATAAAACCCCATAACTCCCCCAATATGTTCATACTCAAGGTGTATATATACGTTCCAAGAGTTTTGGTGCGTAATCTCTTTCACTTTACGTTGTTTACATATTTTTAGACTTGGTGATGACTCTCAAACCGTAACACAGTCAAACATTATACTTCATTCAAGCAATCAAACACACCAATTTAATTCTTAAATAATTAGTGACCACATAAATTTAAATGTTGAACCCTTTTTAATCTACCTCGGTGTTAAAGACACCTTAAACGCATAATGCGCCGCAAATCATATCCCTCGGTGTTAGAGATTACTATGCAAATAAGCACCGCAATATAATTTATTCCTGTGTAGTAAGACACTTAAATAGCTCCTTCCTCATGCTTATAGCATCAATAAAAATTATATGAACCATAATAAAATTTCCTTTTAATATTCCAAACTAAATTAAACATTTAGTGTAATTAAACATGCTCTCTATCATGCCAACAATAAAAGTGTGGTTCATAATCGACATGCCAACATAATTAGTTCTAATCACCAATTCATCACAAATAATTCATACATCACAAATCATCTACGTACCAACATCAATCCAATCAACAAATTCCAACCAACACCTATCATGATACTACTTGGAATTAATTAAACAAAGTCTAGCATGCTTCTACATATTCAAATAGTTACCAAGTACGCGAACGTACCTTGAATATGATCTCAAAATCTATCGCCACGACTAAATAAATCACTCACTTGGAAGTCTCCTACAAACCAAAATTACAAAGAGGCATTAATACCTATTCCACACAAATTTCTAGCAATATATACCCTATTTAAATCACTCATAAACCCTCTAAAACAAGCTGAAATTTAATTTAAAACCCTTACTTTTATTCCCAATTAATGGGTAATTAAAAATCATTTCAAGAAACATAATTATAGCTTATATATAAAAATTCCAGCTTTATTAAATCATCTTTAATTGCTGTAATTGTGTTTTAAAACACTTATTTCAATAATTTAAATTACCCATAAACAATTTTCATCAATTTACATAAACTTAGAAACCTAGGGTTTATAATTTGGGGCTTTTTAATTCAAAACCAAATCTGAAAATTTATATACAAAATACTTATCATCAAACATCATAAAATCATCACAAAATCCAAAAACAATAATTATATTAAGTAGATTTAATTTAAAAATAAAAAAGAATAATTTTTTTTTGTTCGACAACCGGGGCACAACCATCAAGGTCGGCTGCTGTCGCGCCCGCCCGTGGTTGCTACTGCCGGCGAGTGCTGGTGGTGGTGGCCGCCGGTTAGTGGGCAGCCGTGGTGATGGCCGGCGGTGGTGGTGTGTGCGTGGGTGGTGATTGAAGCAAAAATAAAATAAAAGGGAAAGGGAAATTAAGGGGGAGAGAAAATAAGAGGTTGATTTGGAATAAAGGGGAAAGGGAAAAATTAAGGGGGAGAGAGAAAATAAGAGGAGAGAGAGTTATCTTTCGGTATTCTCCACCCTGGAAAAAGTTTAATTTGCCCATGTGATGGTATTTACACTCTCTTTTCTAAAACCTTCCTAGACTTAATTCCCTTTTTACCCTTAATGACCCCTTTCCTTGTCAAACTAGTATTTTTACTTTCTTTAAAAACTCATTGACTTTAAAATTTCCTTTTATAAAATAATGTGCCCCAATATTTCAAAATCATGAAATAAAATATTTTCAAGATTGTTAAATAATTAAAAATAAACTTTAAATTAAAATAATTCTTTTTAAATTAATGAAAATTCATAAATAATTCATTTCGAATTATTTAAATACTTTAAGAAATACTTATTTAAATTAAAAATTCGTATAAAAATACGAGGTAATACAGAGATTATATAATTTCTTTCCATATTCTATATTGATTGATATGTGATCGCTGAACGTTGGTGACCCCTTAATATGCCTCTACAAAAATACTAGTATAATAAGATTTAGGCGTATTACCGCCACGTGATTACGCAAGACTACTCAAACTATTAGCTCAAACCAAAAATTTTGCAGCGGAAACTCAAACTCTCGCTTTATTAATAAGATAAATAGTAACCATTGTGATGAGTACTCAAAATAAAACAAAAACCAACATTTCCTAATCTAGGTGAAGCAAATCTTGGGACCCCCAAATGCTCAATCATGACTCCACCTGAAAAAGTCAACGCTGCTTACTGTTAAGGTAAACAGGGCTAACCAAAACAAATAGAAATACGATTTAGCAAAATATGCTAAGTACGATA